TATATATATATATATATATATATCCCATACCATACTAATGCAAGGCGCACAGGGATTTATTTGTATATAAATAAGCATGTCTGTATACGCGTACATATAGTTGCCTAAATGTAAATAGATAGCACCTGTTGCATGTGTGTCTGCGGCCGAGAGAGTAGACTGCAATAGAGAGAAAGAGACCTCGAAAGAAGGAACTAAAATGAATACAAGAGGAAATAACTCAGACAAAAAGGGAAGCCTTGATTGAAGGAACCCGTTATATGTTGCTGCGTTCCTTATTCATCTTTTGGTGATTTTGCTGTTAGCGGCTGCTGCTTGGCTACATTTGCTGCCGCCTGCTGCTCCGGCTTTGTCTCATCATTTGCTTCTGTCTTTACACCGAGCAGCAGCAGCTGAGGAGACACCTTGCGAGTGCTACTGATAGTATTGCGAAGGCGTCTTAGCTTGAGGACGGCAGCTTCATCGTCGTTGTCTGTCTGGTTGTTCATTTCTTCACCGTCCTCTGTCTTCTCCGTCTCTCCTGCAGCAACAGCCGCAGCCGCAGCAGCAGCAGCAGCAGCAGCTGCTGCTGCTGCTGCTGTCTTTGGCCTACGGCCTGTTGTTGCTTCGACGTGCATGCGCGGAGTTGACTTTGCTGCTGTCTGCTGCTTCTGCTGCAGCCGCAGCGCATCTTGCTGCATCTGGGCTTCAAAGGCTGCAACGCAACAACACAATGCATACTACAAACCCTAAACCCCAAACACTAAACGGGTGCCAGCGCAGACGATGAAAAAAGCAATGCAGGTTTCAGACGACAACAACAGCACCAACAACAACAGGAGCAGCGATAGGAGCGCTTGCTGTTAAGATTGTCCCTGTACCTGCTGTTGCTGCATCTTCTTCTGCCTGCAGCTGACGACCGCCCATCCCCACCTTGCGGATGGAGAAGAACATGGGCCCTAATTCTGCTAGCCACCGTGCGTCCACGGCTGTCACCTGAGCAGAGGTTGCAGCAGCAGATATACCGCAGAAGAAACAGGGGAATAAACCAAATAACTAGTTCAAATATAGCCAGTATAACACTTTACAACCCAAAACCCCAAATCCTAAACCATCGGCGTACGTTTCGCATATACTCTTTAGTGGTGAGGAGAAGCTCGTGGTAGACCACATATTCGGGTGTATATCCAGCCGAGTAAAGAGACGAAGTTGGATGAACGTGACAGGGTACAGAAGTCCTCATATTTACATATTCTCCTATTCCACGTAGTTTAGCGGCGTGGTGAAAGTAACCGGCGCAGATTGCCTGCATGCAAAAAGAAACAATAGAAAAGTCAGTAAACGAATACGAATTAAAATAGTAAAAACAATAACAATAAGAATCATAAGAAGGATAATACGAAAATGAAACGGAAGAAGGACAAGAACGACAAAGGACGAACGAGAAAACGAAGAGAAAGACGCAGAAATGAGGAAGAATCGGAAGAAAAGGCAGGAGCAGGGGAATGGAGGATGACAAGAAGAAATGTTCCTCTTTGAGGATTTCGAGAAAAGAAAGAAAACACCCCCCAAAGAGGAGAAAAAAAGAAAAAGAAAGAAATCCACCAACGAGAAGGAAAAAGGAAGAAGAAAACTCACAATTAGACAAAATTTTATTGACAGCCAGTCGAATTCTACATTTTTCTTTATGTATATGTAGATATATTATATATTGAGGAAGAAAGTAGAAACAGAGATACGTACTTTCCTAAGGATATCCCAATCTGTGCCGCATGATTGTTCTGGTATTCCTTGTTGTTTCATCGTATCCACAAGTTGGTCGCGAACTTCCTTCGCCTTCTGCATTGCCTGCATACAGAAAAGAAAAACAAACACAATACAACAACTATAATTACTAACAATGCATGCTGTCGGGCAGGCATGGAAGAGGGAATGTAAGAAAGAAAGAAAGAAACTGACAGAGGTTGATATGTATATCGATACAGACAGAGGCCGACAGACGAGGAGAAGGACAAAGAGACAGAAAGCCAAAGAGAAAGACAAACGCAAAGAGAGACAAAGAGAAAGAGACAAGAAGTAGAAAAGAAAAAATGAAGGTAAAAAATACCTTTGGCTGTACGAAGTGTTTAAGACACCATTGAGGGTTGCATTTGGCTCTTTTCCATTGTTGGAAGACATTAAGGAGAGTAAGATGATCGCTCTCGGGTACAAAGAATTTTTCTTTTATTCCTTCTGCTTCTTGTTGTTTTTCTTTAGCAACAAAGAAGATAGAAGGAACAGAAAGAAGAGAAACAATAGATACAAGCTCGCTAACACCCCCTAGATCTGCTGCTGCTAGCAGCATCTTTGATAGGGGAGGGTCTAAGGGGAAGGAAGACATTTTAATGCCTGTATTGGTAATATATCCATTATTATCTAATGCCCCTAATATCCATAGTTGAAACATAGCATCAAGAAGGTTTTCTTGAGGGGGAGGATCAATTAAATCAAATTGTTGCAAGTCTTCAACACCAATACTTTTAAGGAGAAGCACAACATTACTCAGATTAGTTCTTTGCATTTCGGGTACTGTTAAGGGTAACATTTCCCTTATAAAAGCAGTTTCTGTATATAAACGATAACATTTCCCTGGTCCTGTTCTCCCTGCTCTCCCCTTTCTTTGATTAGCATTTGCTTGTGATATAGGTGTTACTTGTAGACAATCCATACCAATAGAAGGATTGAATACCTTTAACTTGCAGAACCCGCAGTCTACTACATAACGAACACCGTCTACTGTTAAGGATGTTTCTGCTATATTTGTTGCTACTATAATCTTCCTATACTTCGATGGCTCAAATATCTTTGCTTGTAAGTCCGCAGGTAACTGCGAATATATAGGTAATATTGTTAAGGGGGGAGCCCTCTCCCCTATCTGTTCTAATCGCGTAGCAAGAAGAATACAAGAAACCTCAATATCATCTTGTCCCGTCATAAAAAGAAGAATATCCCCTGGTCCTTCAAATTCATCCTCCCCTTCAGCTGTATTCGCAGCATCCGATCCCCCACAAGGAGTACTGCAGTGTATTGCTAAACATTTTTGTACTGCTGCATCTACATAATCATCAGGTATACATCTTGTGAACTCTACCTCTACAGGAAATGTTCTTCCTGGTATATGAAATATAGCAGCACCACCAAAAAAAGAAGAAAAACGATCTGCATCCATTGTTGCTGATGTTACAATTAACTTAAAATCCCTACGACGACTTGCTACTCCCTTTAATACACCAAATAATATATCCGTGTTCAAAGATCTGCACACAGACACCACAAACCCTAAACCCTATACCGTAAACCCTAAACCCTAAAACAAACTATAGGCAGCAAGCACATGAAAAGAAACAACAAGAACGAACATACACACACATGCATAAACAACCAACTACACACAAAGCAGCAGCTACTCCTCAACAGATATTAGAACAAGACAAATAAACCACCACCACCAGCAGCACGAAACAACACCACCACAGCACAACAACCAGAATCATTACCATCACCACCATCGTCAGCAGCAGCAGCAACAACAGCAGCAGCAAACTTGTTAGTTTACCTTTCGTGTGCTTCATCCATGATAACACAACTATATTTATCTAGATCAGGATCACTAAGACTTTCTCTTAATAATACACCATCCGTCATATATTTAATTGCTGTTTCTTGTGATGTACAATCCTCAAAACGAATAGAATAACCAACAAGATTGCCAAGATCAACCCCCATTTCTTCAGCAACACGTTTAGCTACAGATACAGCAGCAACACGACGTGGTTGTGTACACCCTATTATACCCACAGAGAATAAATTTGCACCACCTGCTGCTGCTGTTGCTGCTGCTTCTGCTTCGGCTGCTGCTGATGGTAATGCTGATGTTGCAGAAGAGGGCGTTCCCGCTGTGTAGGAGGGATATGACGACGTTCTATATGTAACGCGGGAGTTGGGGGTTGCTGCTGCTGCAGCAGCAGCAGCAGCAGGAGATATTGCATATCCTTCCTCATAGAGATATTGAGTAAGTTGGGTTGTTTTGCCACTTCCTGTTTCTCCTACAACAACAATTATTTGGTGCTCCCTACATATTTGAATAAATTCTTCTCTTACTTTATATACAGGCAAAGATTGCCGCTGCTGCTGCAGCTGCTGGTGCAGCTGCTGCGGCGTAAAAGCAGTAGAACCTGGTTTGCTGTTGATAAATGCAGCAGCATAACCATCACGACCACGTTTACCTAATGCTTCCGCCTCAGCTGCTGCCGCTGCTGCTGCTGCTGCTGCTCTCTCCTCTGCTGCTGCTTCTGCTTCTCTACCCTCAGCACCCTGCAGCAACTTCCCTAGTGTCGATCCCGCCACTTCCCAAAAACGCTGGCGAACTGCTGCTCGATCCTCTCGATCCTTTGTATAACGCAACACGGCGCTGCCCTTCCTGCACACAAACCCTAAACCCTAAATCCTAAACCCTAAACCCTAAACTATTTAGCATGTGAACAACGGCAGACATATAAGAAGGGACAGAAGAAACAACAAATAACACAATAAAATCCCCCAAGTTTTGTCCTGAGGTGTAAAGAGAGCAGGTATAGTATAGGTAAGATTCGCGGTCTGTACTAATAAGATCAAAAGCGATACAGAAAGATTCAGCAGCAACAGCAGCAGCAGCAATAGCAGCAGCAAACCTGGCAAGAGTGACCATATCGCTAGTTACATCTTTTACGACGCTAACATTACGTTCTGAGGGTTTATATTCAGCGAGGAAAGGAGGTAATAATTGTCTGCATATAACATGTTCTTTTTCTGTTTCTTCTAATTCTTCCTGTTCATCTAAACTTATTTCTCTCCTTTGTCCTGCTCCTCCTCTATTCATTAGTACTTCTTCCCATAATTCATTATCCCTGTGTCGCTGCATCTCTGCTAACGAGCGACCGGGGGCCCCTGTGGGGGCCCCCCCTTTTAAACTCTTTAATTTTTCCTCTTTTAATAAATTGCGAGTATCGTCTTCCTCATAATCACCAAGTTGCAACCCTGAGCTGTCGTCTCGGTCATACCTGCGGTGTACGTACAGCACACAAAATTAAACATTAATTCTATTTATTTAAATAACAGATTAAATTAAAGTTTTAATTCAATATATTAAAATTAATATTTATTTTCTCTTTTCTTACCACATTCGTTGTAATGCCCTCTCTGCTTCCTCTTCTTCTGTCGTAGGAACCGTAGATGCTATTCGCCTCTTCTCTCCCTCTAATGCCAACTCAATTGCTTTCCTTCTTTCTTCTTGTACTTTAGGGTCCACGGGGGGCCCCCAACCAGACTGGGGGGCCCCATCGGGGGCCCCCTCATCCTCAGCATCTGTCCAACCTGTGCGGCGCTGACGCTTCGGGGGGTCCCCAGAGGCTGATGATGATGCATTTGCTGCTTCGGGTCCTGCTGCTGTTGCTGCTGTTGTTGTTGCTTCTCTTTCTGCTGCTGCTTCTGCTGCTAGCTCTGCAGCACGACGACTGAGGTATTCCTTGTGCGTTAGAGCTGGCTTTACGCATGGACCAATCTGATCCTGGGGCTGATGCGGCTGACGTCGTTGACGCGGCCGGAACACAGGGACTGCAAATGTCCCATCGGTGCTGTTGTTGTTGTTGCTGCTGCTGCCATTAGTCCCGGGAGCGAGCAGCCGCCGCCGCTGCTGCTGTTGTTGTTGCTTCTGCGGTGGCGGTTGCGGGGACTGCAGCTCCGACGACTGCGGGGTTGCATCCTCCTCTTCATCATCTATAAAGCTAAGCATCTCCCACACAAATCCTAAACCCTCTAAACTCTATACCCTAAACCCTAAACCCTGCAGCAGAAAAAGGACCAACCAACGGGACCTTGGACCCAAGGCAGTCTGCTGCTGCAGTGCAGCAAAGCATTAAAATAAATAAAAAAAACGCGAAAAATGCAAAAAAAGCAACTTAGGGTTTGCTTTAAAAAGAAACAAATGAGAGGAAGAAGAAAGAGAGGGGCCATCTTGCGCGGCAATGGGGCCCTTGGGGGCCCCCCTCCCTTAGTCTCTGTTGTTCGAAAATAGTTTTAGTGGTGCGAATTGTTTATTTAATTTGTTCTTTAGATAGTTTCTCTTTAATTTTGCTCTGTTCTCTTATTTCAGTAACAAAACCTTAAACCATAGACCCTAGACCCTAGAGGCGAATGCTGCCCGCAACCCCGAACAATGCTCGAGGTCCCCGCGCCTAACGCGGCATCTCAGACAATCGCTAAGCCCTAAACCCTAAACGCTATATTATGCACACGAGATTCAATGTTATAAGCCCTAAACACTAAACCCTCGTAAGAAACGTGGGGATACTGCACTGGCTGCGTGGGGGTTTGTAGCGGATGGGGGCGGGAACACGGCTTAGTGAAGGTTTGTTCCTCTCTCAAGGGTTTAGGGTTTAGGGTTTACATAAGTAGCTGTCCCCTCAACTTAAGTATCCGTTTCTCAGTTCAAGAGTTTGTGTCTATATGATAAAATGCTGAATAAAATTCAGTTGCGGTTTCGGGTTTGGACACATGTCTGGCATGAGGGTTTCCCCTTTTCTTTATTTATAAGGGTTTAGGGTTTAGGGTTTAGCCTGCTGCCAGGTTTCTTGTCAACAATAAAAGAAACAAATCAATTTAATTAAGAGCCAACTAAGACAAAACCCTTTAACGATCATCATCGGAAGAGTAGTTGGCGGAGGAGGCATCATCGTTGTCGTCCTCCTCCTCATCCTCCTCTAGCTCCTCTACCTCCTGCTGCTGCTCCTGCTCCTTGAGAGCTTTCTTCGACAACTCACGCAGCTGCCTCTCGTGCACTGCCATCGAATGATCTTCAGGGATGCCAGACCGCTTCATCCGCTGCAGCAGCAGCAACAGAGCACGGTGCACTCGCGCTGCAGCATCTGCTGCAGTTGCTACTGCTCCTACAGCTACACTAACTCGAGGGTTTAGGGTTTAGGGTTAATTAGTTAGGGGTCTAATTACCTGTTTTAGCTCATCTAAGGCACTAAGACAACTATCAAAGTCATCAGACTTATATAAAGCGCAGCAGAGGACTAACCACACCTGCGGCTGCAGGAGAAAAACACCGAACCCTAAACCCTCGAAAACAATAAACCCTAAACCCTAGATACAACAAACCCTAAACCCATAAGACAGTCGTTAGCATGCAGCGAATCAAGCTCCAATGTGCAGGCATATAGCCAAGCCCCACTCAGCAGCCACACATACACACCAACATCAGCAACAACAACAAAAGGAGAACAAGCAACAGCAGCATGTAAGAGCGAGAAAGGATCAAATGTATATATGTATATATGTATACTTAATATATATATACATATATACTATATATATGTGTAAATAGATATAATTTGTGGTGTACGTACATCTTCATCATTTTCATCTAGACAAGCTTTTAGTACTTTTAATGCCGGCTTAACCATCCCTACATCTATAAATAATCTTGCTGCATTAACTCTTGTCTCTATAGAGACAAAAGCATCACTATCTTCTTCTTCTGGTGAAGTAAATAAGCAGGATTCATCTTCTGCATTTATCATCATCTGCTTCATTGCCCTCTTATGCAAACGTTTCAGTGTGCTGTACAGACACTTCGCCGCACGTATTGCACCCTCAGCATCGTCTGATAAATAACAGCAGCAGCAGCAGCAGCAGCAGAAACAGCATACACACATTTGTCCACCTCCAGCAAATACTACTGCAACAAGACCAACAGCAAGAAAGGCAGCCACAGCAACTACTGCGGCTACAGCAAAATAGACCCCACAGACAACCAACAGATGCTTGCTGCTGTCTACTGCAGCATCACCATCTACTGTTGTCGTTGCTGCTGCTGCTACAGAGAAGCAAGAAGAAGAACTTACCCTGCACCTTCTTAAGTTGTGCGTCACATAGAAGAGCATCAGGGCTCTCAGGATCTAGCTCCAGCGCCTTTTGAACAGCACTAGTTGCTGATGCTTCTGCCTCCTCCTCTTCACAAAGATCCGTTAGATATAATTCAGCAACGGAGCAGTAAGCACGCACTAAAGTGCCCTTTATCTCCTGTGCCTCTGCTGCTGCTGCTGCTGCAGCCGGCCCCTTGGACTTCTTGCCGTGCTTAGAAGCAGCAGCGACATAAGAAGACTGTGCAGAAGCCAAGGAAGACTCCAACAGAGAAATAGCAGTTCGATACAAAGAAAGACAGGCAGCGCCTTCCTCGAGCTGTGCCATCTGAAGGAACTTCAATGGGCCTGATAAAGGCTGAAGAAACGACAAAATAAAAACAAAAAAGGAAGAAAAATGGGGCAAGAAGAAGCAGCGTGTATTTAGACAGACAGGCAAACAGCAGCAGCAAATGGTTTAAAAGAAAACGCAGAGGTAGAGGGTAGAAGCTTCATCGATCGATTATATAACAGAATAATAAAGAACAACTTGCCTCCAGCTGAATGGCTCTTTGAAGGAGTTCTTTTGCTTCATCTCCCCTCCCTAGTTCGCAGTATTCGCCGGCAAGGCGTTGCAAAAGTTCAACATCGTCGGGGTGTACAGAGACTCCCTTCTCGAGGAACTTTACAGCCAACTCAAGGTTGGGGGGGAAAGAAGAAAAGCATTCGTCTGCCTTGGAGAGGAAAAAAGAAGGAGGTTTTCCAGTGGACCGTTGTAGTTGGGTCGTAGCACCAGAGGGGCCCCCCCCCTCATCAAGGGGCCCTTCCTCTCCGTCTACTTCCATGAAGGGGCTTGCTGAATATGGCGGATAGAGATAAACACAGAGCGTCAAAGACCAAGAAAGAACTGCATTAATGCAGTTTATGCCGAAGTGTATGGTGAAGTGCTGATGTTTGGGTGCACTAGCAGGCAACTATTGCTGTGTTTCTGCTACTGGCGGCGACGAAACCTAAGAAATATAAGACTTAATATCCGAAGAAATAATAAGGTTTTAATGATTGTTTAATAAATTCGCAAATACCAATTACATGCGCCCACCCCACACCCGCCGATCGCCGACATGGTAGAGCAGCCGCATCGGTCATGTTCAAGTTCTGCAGCAATATGAACGAGAGCGATCCTTAAGGAAACCTCGCGCTAAATGCCTTAAAATTCTTCTTTTTTGGTGTTAAATTTTAGTGTGCACATTTCCATTCAAGAGGTTTTTGCGCCGGTTGCTAAATATACGAGATATTTCACTTTGACTTACAGCCAATCCCAAGGAGCGGTGCAACGCTCGGGGTCGTATTGCGGTTATATTGGCGTAATTTCTTCTTCTTTTCTTGTATTTTAGAGGGAATAAAGGTATTTTAGTTTCTTTCGAGTTGATCTGCAATTGAGGAACTCGCGTTCATTTCTTCCCCTTCTGCTGCTCTCGCCAAGCCCCTTGCCACCGCCGTCGTCGCCTCTGTGTGAAGCCCAATCGATGCATTGCATGGATCTTGGGTATTCCTAGGTCCTTTTTGTTGCGTTTCTTTTTCTTTTTGTTTTTTAGAAGCAGAATTGTAAAAGATAGGGCGGACAGAAAGTCGCCTTCTTACCCCCCTTCCAGCCGTACCGCGCTGCGGAGGAGCAGCTGCTGTGCCTAGTGGCGGTGCTAGAACATTTCTTCAAGTCAACGGCCCCAGGAAATGGCGTGTGGGTGCCTTAGAAAGCCGATTTTTTTGATCCCTGTCGCCATTCTTCTGGCATTCAGGGGAGGAGTTGTTGCGGTGGAAGAACCGCCAACTACAGGGGAACAGGGGGAGCCTATCGTAGGAACCCCCGGTCAAGAGGGCCCTCATGATGAGGCATCATCCCCTTCATCTCCACATGCAGAAGAACATGCCAGCGATGCTGATGCAGCAGCAGATTTAAGCAGCAGCCTGCTGCAGCAGCAGCCCTCCAACATCAATCCTACTACCCCTTTTGCGGAGTTGCTAAAACGCCTCATTCAAGTCTCATCACAGGTCAAGTCTGCAGGTCAGGTAGAGGGAGAGCAAACAGCAGCAGAATCACCAGAGGCTGCAGCAGAATACCCTCATGCTGCACCTGAAGGAGAAGCAGCAGCAGTACCAGCACCAGAAGCTGCAGCAGAGCAAGAGGCTGCAACAGCTAACACAGGTGAATCGGCAAGATACGCAGAAGCAGCAGCAACAGAAGCACCAGAAACACCAGTAAAAGAGGCAGCAGTAGCGGCGGAACAATGGCAGGAGCAAGCAGCAGGTGTTGCAAATGAATCAGAAACAGCAGCAGCAGGACAGAAAGCAGCAGGTATTGCACCTGAGGCAGAAACTGCAGAAGCAGCGGCAGCAGAAGGCCAGGATGCAGTAATTGTTGCGCCTGAGGCAGAAACTACAGCAGGAGCAGAAAGGCAAGAACCCATATATATTGCAGCTGAGCCTGAAGCAGCAGCAGCAGCAGGCCAGGGAGCAGCATATCCTGCAGCTGATGCAGAAACAGCAGCAACTGGAGAAGGAAAGGAAGCAGGAGAAGTCGCAGCAGTAGAGGGTGGAGAGAGAGCAGAAACTTTGCCTGCGGAAGAAACAGCAGCGGCAGCAGCAGCAGAGGCAGAAGCCACAGCCGCAATTGTAGCGGAAGCCGAAGCAGCAGCTGTAGCAGAAGGGGAGAAGGAGCTGGCACAAATAGTACAGGAAGCAGAAGCAGCAGCAACCGCAGAATCGCCAGCAGCAGCAGAAGCAGCACCAGCGGAAGAAGCAGCAGCACTCGAACAACCGGCAGCGGAACAAGCAGCAGAGCTAGCAGTAGAAGGACAAGCGGCAACAGAACAAGAAGCAGCAGTGGCATCAGAACAAGCAGCAGCAGAGCTACCAGTAGAACAAGCAGCAGCAGAGCTAGCAGCAGCAGGTCGCGCAGCAGCCGAACGAGCAGGAATAGAACAAACAGCGGCACAGCAAGCAGCAGCGGAGAAAAAAGCAGCTAAGAGATCAACAAGAAAGAGATCAGCAAGAAAGAGAAGAGCAGCAGAGCGAGCTGGAAGGCTAGCAGCAGCAGCAGCGGAGCAAGCAGCAGCGGAGCGCGCAGCAGCAGACCAAGCAGCAGCAGACCGAGCAGCAGCAGACCAAGCAGCAGCAGAGCGTGCAGCAGCAGAGCGAACCGCAGCAGAACAAGCAGCCGCAGCAATGGCAGCAGAAGAGCGTGCAGCAGCCGACGAAGCAGCAGCGGAGAGAGCAGCAGAAGAGAGAGCAGCAGCTGAAGTGGCCGCAGCCCAGTACGCTGAAGCAGAGAAAGCAGCAGCTGAGCGTGCTGCAGTAGAACATGCAGCGGCTGAGCAAGCAGCAGCAGCGCGTGCAGCAGCAGAGCGTGCAGCAGCAGAGCATGCAGCAGAAGAACACGCAGCAGAGCAGAGAGCAGCAGAAGAACATGCAGCAGCAGAGAAAGCCGAAGCTGAACGGGTTGCAGCGGAACAAGCAGCAGCAGAGCATGCAGCAGAAGAGAAGGCAGCAGCAGAGCGTGCAGCAGCGGAGCAAGAAGCAGCAGAGAAGGCAGCAGCAGCTCGACAGGCAGCTGAACTAGCAGCAGCAGCAGAGCGTGAAGCAGCAGAGCGTGCTGCAGCAGAAGAAGCAGAAGCCCAGCGTGCTGCAGCTGAGCGTGAAGCAGCAGAGCGTGAAGCAGCCGAGCGTGCTGCAGCAGAGCGTGCAGCAGCAGAGAAGGCAGCAGCAGAGCGTGAAGCAGCAGAGCGTGAAGCAGCAGAGAAGGCAGCAACAGAGCGTGAAGCAGCAGAGCGTGAAGCAGCAGAGAAGGCAGCAGCAGAGCGTGAAGCAGCAGAGCGTGAAGCAGCAGCGAAGGCAGCAGCAGAGCGTGAAGCAGCAGAGCGTGAAGCAGCAGAGCGTGAAGCAGCAGAGCGTGAAGCAGCAGAGCGTGCTGCAGCCGAGCGTGAAGCAGCCGAGCGTGCTGCAGCCGAGCGTGAAGCAGCAGAGCGTGAAGCAGCCGAACGTGCAGCAGCAGAGCGTGAAGCAGCCGAACGTGAAGCAGCAGAGCGTGCAGCAGCAGAGCGTGCAGCAGCAGAAGAAGCAGAAGCTCAGCGTGCAGCAGCAGAGCGTGAAGCAGCAGAGCGCGAAGCAGCAGAGCGTGCAGCAGCAGAACGTGCAGCAGCTGAGCGTGAAGCAGCCGAGCGTGCAGCAGCAGAACGTGCAGCAGCAGAACGTGCAGCAGCAGAACGTGCAGCAGCGGAGAGTGCAGCAGCAGGGGAGCGTCCAACAGCAAAGAAAGCAACAGCAAGGAAAGGAACAGCAAAGAAAGGAACAAGAAGAAGCAAACGTTCATCATCTGTTGTATCTAGTGTACCTACTAATGAAGAATCTGAGGCAGCAGCAGCAGCAGCAGCAGCAGCAGCAGAGAGAGCCACTGGTCTATCAATTGGTCCAGTGGACCTGTCATCGGATATATCTCCTGCATGCATTCTTCCTTCTACTGCTGCACCTGTATCCTATGGACCTCGTTCTGTCTATCTTGTATCCCAATTAACAAGAGGGGAGTACCAATTACTACAAGATGCATCTATTTCTGTGTCTTGTTCAACAGAGGATAAGACTGTTTCTTTCTCTCTTGCTTATGCAATTACTAATCCTTTTAAGAAATTCCTCTCCTCTATTAAGAAGGCCCTATGGGGGCCCCAACAGCCAACTATTAAGACCCTACCTCTACCCGATAGCTGCAGCTGTCATCATAGATCTAAGGATGAGGCCCTACCTGTATATGCAGTAAGGGAACAAGAAGGAGATATAGATGCTGTTCTTCTTCGTTGCTCTCTTCCTCAACAAAGATATTATTTCCTTAATGCAGATAATGAATATCTTATACAAATGCAGCAAGAACAGATGCAAAAACATCACCAGCAGCAGATGCAACAAATGCAGCAGGAGATGCAAGAGCAGCAGGGGCAAGAATATATGCAGGTGCAACAGGTGCAGCAGCAGCAACCACTGCAGCAAGCCGATTTGCTGCAGCAAGAAGATTTATTCTGTCCTTTACCTTCCCCTCTTTCTGCCTTAGGTGTTGTACGGGGTGTTAGCGGTAGTGTATATAAGACAGGGCCTTGCTTGTATCGTGTTATAGGCAAGTCTTTCTCTCTTGTTACTGCTGGTAAGACAGATATAATAGTAAAAGGGCATTATTATGTTACTAAGAAAGAAGAAAAGAAAGAAAAAGGAAGCAGAAATAGAAAACATAAACAAAAAGAAAAAGAAAAAGAAATAAAAGAAATAAAAGAAGAAGTAGAAATACAAGAGGGAGAGGTGCATGTACACCTCACCGAGGAATGTTATCTTCAAGATACAAGACTCTTACAAATCTTCCAAGCCCCAGCTATCTGCTCCGAAAGCAGCAGCAACAGCAGCAGCAGCAGCAGCAGCAGCAGCAGCAGCAACGAAGCTCCTGCTCCTAATTGTACCGCCCTCTATCTATACACCGCAGCAAGTCTACCCGAAGATGTTGTTGAAGATAAATCTTCGTCAATTAAATTCCAAAAGATTCCTCTTCAGGCTCTTCATGAACTATAAGAGGAGCAGCAGGTACTGCAGCAGCAGCAGCAGCAGCAGCAGCAGCAGCAGCAGCAGCAGCAGCAATAGCAGTAACAGCAGTAATGGAATTAATAAAGGGAATAATTGAAAGAAGAATAGCAGCAAATAATGCAGCTGCAATTTTAGTGCAGAAGCAACAGGAGAAACAAGAAATGCAGCAACAGCAGCAGCTGCAGCAACAGCAGCTGCAGCAGCAACAGCTGCAATAGCAGCAATAGTAGCAACAGCAGCAACACCACAGGTGCCCTTGCTGCCGCTTCGCATTAAACAATGGGAGATGCTGCAGGCTGCAGCATATAAAACTTGTTTTGCAGCAGCAGCAGCAGCAGCAGCAGCAGCAGCAGCAAAACGATTATGCAGCAGCAGCAGCATAAGGGAGATAGATCATTATGTTGCTGCAGCAGCAGCAGCATGAGGGAGATAGATTGTTGTGTTGCCGCTGCTGGAGTAGCAGCAACACAAGGGAAATCGCTGTGTCTGCTGCAGCAGGAGCAGCAGCAGCAGCAGCAACATAAGGTAGGTTTCCTTCCTCTTTCTTGTTTTTTTGTTAAATGCAAAAGACAAGAAAGAGAGGCATTAATTAGATTGTTATAAAAAAGGCAATAAATATATATTTATTATATTAAATATATTAATAATAATAATAATTATATTATAATTATTATTATTAAATAATATATTAAATATAATAAATAAATATAAAGGTTATTATTTATAATTGTTTATTTATTTCCTTCTTTTTACTCTTTTCTTCTTCCTTCTTGCTTACCCTCTAAAAAAGCAGAAGGCAAAGAAAGCAACCTACAGTAGATGCGTTCATACACTTGCTGCAGCAGCACCTGCAGCAGCAGCAGCAGCAGCAGCAGCAGCAGCAGCAGCAGCGGGAGTGTTATGCATGTTGTGGTGTGAGGCTTTAGGCTTTACGCTTAAAGACCCGTGTTTGCTATGAGGGTTCATTTTGTGTCTTTTTACCGGCAAAAATAAATAAATAATAACTATTTATTAATTATATTTATAATTAAATATAATTAAATAATTAATTAATTAATTAATTAATTAATTAATTAATTAATTTAATATATTAATAGATAAGTAAATAAATAGTTACGATAGTGCATGCAGAGACAGAAAAAAAAAGAAGGAAAATAGAGGAAATAAATGAATTAGTAGTAAGTAGCAACATTAGGTAGTTTTGTTTATTAGTCATCTTTTCTTCTTCCTATAACAGGAAATAAAGAAAGGTAATTTAAATGTATTTAAATACCAATTAATTAATTAATTAATTAATTAAATACATTTATTATGTCTAATTAATGCATGCACACATCTAACATGGCAAATAAAACAAGAAAAAGACCCATGGATGTATATGTTATATGTATATTATAATTATATTATATATTATATATATTCTATATATAGTACAGATAGCCTCATTAAAATGAATATATAAGTAAACTGTTATAAATATAATAAACAGTATTATAAATGTATATCTGTATAAAGGGAATATGAATAAACATAAGAATAGCTAGGAATACGCTCTTAGTACTCGAGCAGGAGGAGAGGAAGAAAAACACGCGAACACAAGGGCAAAAAGATCGGTTATGGCTTGCAGAATAAAATATTAATAAATAAAATATAATTAATAAAACAATTTAAAGAAAAATAGATGAATTACAATCATAATATTCAAAGATTTCCTCCTTTTACCTCCTTTCCTTTTCCTCTGGACTGGTGTTGACCTGCCCATACACCCGAGGGGTGTACATATATAGATATATATCCGCCCTTGTTCATGACGTATTATAAGTTATAAAGTATAAATTCATTTATATTCTTTCCTGCGTTTTAATTAACTATTATTTAATCGCATTTATTTCCTTCTTCTTCATCACCTGCATGCATCTGCCGTCAACTCTGCCGCCTCCCCTGCGGTGTATCGACACCTCCTTGACTCGAGACCATCAAGGAAGGAGGAGGTATCCATCATCGTTTTTATCCACTTTTCCCTTTTTTTATTCATTTTCTTTTTCCTTTTTCTTCATAAGACGGCGACGCGCGCTGTCGCAACCCCAATAGGGGAAACAGCCGCTGAATTCGGCCTGTTTCTTGTACGTAGAGCGCCGAGCAGCTCTTGCTGCTGCTGGAGCAGGAGCACCAGCAGCAGCACCGGCAGCAGCAGCAGCAGTTATTGCTGCTACTGCATTATGTATGTTTATGACATGAAGAAGACAAACACACCAATTTTTTAGTTTCTTTATTCTTTTGTCTTGCCATGAAGAGCGCAAGAAACATTACAGCGTTGCTGCTGCTGCTGATCTGGGTAGCGCTCACCATTGCAGCTCTACACCTAGTAACAACAGCAGCAGCAGAACAAGAAGTACCAGCAGCAGCTGCAGCAGCAGCACGCAGCAACAGAGGGAAGCCCATTGCCCCTAAAGAATGGCACCTTCCTGTTGCCTCCCCTTCAGCGACAACAAGATTCTCTCTTCCCTCCTCTCCCTCAACTGGGGTGTCTGCGCAGACACCTGAAGGTCTCTCTAACAGCCCTATAAAGCAGCCATCCATAGCAGCAGCAGCAGCAGGAGTACCAAGTGCTAGAGCAGCGCCGGCAGTAACACTAGCAGCAGCAGCAGCAAGAGGAGGAGCTGCAGGAGCAGCAGCATCAACTCCCTTACCTAGCACTGTTAATATACCATTTCCTTTCTTAGGCCCTGCAATAACTCCTCTTGCTGCTCCTTGGGGTACAAATAGAGATGATGCTGCTGCTGCAGTTGCTGCAGCAGCAGGGAAATATCCAGACGCAGCAACACAAGCAGCAGCAACAAGAGCAGCAACAGCAGCAAGAACAGCAGCAGCAGCAGCAGCAGCAGCAATACCCTCTTATAATTCTCCTTCAAGGAGCTGGACAAGCTACTCTGTACCAGCAGTTGCTGCAGTACTCCACAGCAGCAGCAACAGGAACAGCAGCAGCAGCAGCAGCAGCAGCAGCAAGGAGAAGGTTATAATAAAGGAAGAAGATTCGTCATCAGAGACAGAGACAGAAGAAAACTCAAAGACAGAGACAGACACTGCAGCAAGCGGATGGAGTACCCATAGTACACAGCATGCAACAACAGCAGCAGCAGCAGCAGAAGCAGCAGCAGCACCAACAGCTGCAGCCGTAAGAGCTGCAGCAGAAACTACAAGAGCAGCAGCAATAGCAGCAGCAATAGCAGCGGGATATCCAACTCGTGGATCGGCACCACAGGCAAAGAAGGATATCCCTGCTGCTGCTGCTGCTGCTGCTGCTCCAAAGGTAGCGGATTCTAAAGCAGCAGCAACGGCTGCAACAGCAACAAAAGCAGCAGCAGCAGCAGCAGCAGCAACTCGGGTGCCTCCCCTTCCTGTTTCTTTGTCTTCTTCTTCTGCAGCAGATGCAGAAAAAGTTGTTGCCTTTGCAGATGATGAGGATACATCAGCAGCAGCAACAGATGCAGAAGCAGCAGCAGCAGCAGAAGCAGAATCAGCAGAAACAGCAGCAGCAGCAGCAGCAAAAGTTATATTAAGACGACGAGGTGTATTGGCACTAATACAGGCATGGGAAGAAGAATTAATTTTATTAATAAAAAAAGAATTTTCTTCTTTTTCTTTTTCTTGTCCTTTTTATTATTTTAATTGTCTTTCTTCCTTAAATAATACTATTATTGAATATAAATTAATAGATCTAATTAATAAAAAAATAAATAATAATATAAATAATAATAATAATAATAATAATATAATTAATAATAATAATAATAATAAAAAAGAAAAAGAAATACATGCAACAGTTGTTGATGTGTCTTGTAGCCCTAAGACACAAACCCTCCATTTCCATATACAAACCAGCAGCAGCAGCAGCAGCAGCAGCAGCAGCAGCATCAGCAGCAGCAGTAGCAGTAGCAGCAGCAGCAGCAGCAGCGACAGCAATGGTAACAAGCTGTGGGAAATGCTTGGCTCGGTTTGGGGCAAACTTAAGGGTTTCATAGGGGATGCAGCAGCAGCTGCAGCAGCAGCAGCAGCCGCAGCAGCAGCAGCAGCAGGAGCAGCAACAGCAGCACCAGAAGCAGGAGAAAAAGAAGAAATAAAAGAAGAAGAAGAAGAAATAAAAAAGGAGACAATAGATGTTGCTATGCCGGATATATGTGAATGTTCATGGGAGGCAGCAGCAACAGCAACACCTGTCTTTTCTTTATACTATACACCACCAGCAGCAGCAGCAGCAGCAACAACTACAGCAGCAACAGCAGCAGCTGCAGCAGCAGCAGAAGAAGAAGGAGGCGAATTCCTCTTATTAAGATGTCCACCTAAAAGGGTTTTAGAGTTATCATTAAATGGCGACAAACAATTCTGTCGTCTTTCCCCGAGGGATGAGGGTTTAGATAATAAGGGTTTAGATGAGGGTTTAGAGGATGAGGGTTTAGATAATAAGGGTTTAGATAATAAGGGTTTAGGGAAAGGGTTTAGGGGTTTAGAGATATTAGAAATGTTGGAGGGTTTGCAGGGTTTAAATGAATACGAGGGTTTAGATGAGGGTTTAGTGAAGGGTTTACAGAATAAGGGTTTGGAGAATAAGGGTTTAGAGGATGAGGGTTTGGAGAATAATAAGGGTTTAGTAGAGGAGAGTATAAAGAGGACATTAACAATACAGAGTGTATATAAGGGTTTAGAGGATCACGGATTACAATATAGAGGTAATAAAGAAACGGATATAGAGGAGAAGGGTATAGAGAATATGAATAATATAAATAATATAGAGAAAAATAAGGGTTTAGAAAAAAATAAGGGTTTAGAAAAAAATAAGGGTTTAGAAAAAAATAAGGGTTTAGAAAAAAATAAGGGTTTAGGGTTTAGGGTTGGAGCAAGGCGAGTGTTTGGATGTTTATTTCGATTTGTTGGATTTTCATTTTCGTCTTTGACAATTTCCAAAGAATTTATTTCTTTGACGACAACAATTGGGCAACAAGAGGAAATTGTATTAACACAATTCCTTAAGAAATCACCACCAACAGCAGCAGCAGGAGCAGGAGCAGCAGGAGCACCTGTTGCAGGTGATGGTAGTGATGGTGGTGAGAAGGAGGAGCAGCAGCAACAGCAACACCAGCAGCAGAAGGGAGAGGAGGAAGAGGAGGGAGAAGGGTTTGACTGCAGTATAGAGGATCCTTCGTCCTTGGTGCTGTTCAAGGTGCCTACGTTGCTGCTGCCTTTTCGTGAGGGTTTAGGGAATAAAAAGGAGGGTTTAGAGGAGAATCAAGATGAGGAGGGTTTAGGGTTTAAGAATGAGGGTTTAGATGAGGGCTTAATGGAGGCAACATGGGGAGAAGCACTTTATGTATACACAACAGCAAAACACAAAAAAGAGGAAAAAAACGAAGAAATAAATTTTAATGAAATAACAATTGATGAATTCAAAACCCTAGAAGCGCAACTTAATCAGACAACCCTCTAATAGGGTTTACAGGCGAGGGTTTAGCCTCGAGGGTTTGGCGTCGATGGTTTATCTGCGACAGTTTGGAGTCGAGGGTTTATCTACGAGGGTTTGCAGTTGAGTGTTTAGCCTCGAGGGTTTATCTTCGAGGGTTTAGCGTCGAGGGTTTAGCCTCGAAGATTTGGCTTAGAGGGTTTATCTTCGAGGGTTTGGCTTCGAGGATTTAGCGACGAGGGTTTAGGGTTTGCTGCCGATTCCTCAAACCCTCTAAACCTTGCACCCTAAACCCTAAAACACCCAACAGAGGAATCTAGGGTTTAGGGTTTACAGCATATCTGTCTATGCAGTCTTTGCCTGCTCCGCCTCATACGTATCTAAAGAAGGCAGGAGAACAGGTGCAGCAGCAGCTGCTGCTGTTGCGTTTGCGCTGCTGCTGCTGCGTTTGTTGCTGCTGTTGCTGCAAAGCCAGCATCTGCAAACAGCCAATGGAGGAATTCCTCCCGTAAGTCGTTTTGAGGGTTTTGTTTGCTTTCAACGCGCAGGGCTTGATGATTAGGGTTTAGGGTTTAGGGTTTAGGGTTTAGTGCTCTAGAGTCAGAGTCTTTCAGTGGTTACAGGTGTAAGGGGCCCTAGCTGGGATATGAAGTCCCCTTGGGTGTTTTAGGGTTTAGGGTTTATTGTTTTAGTGTTTAGGGTTTAGGTTTTGATACAGACGAGCAGCAAATGAACTTCTCAACAACAGAACAAAACAAGTAGAGGGAGGAGCCCAAGCCTCTTAGTAGTTGCTGAAATCCCCTGGGGGGCGCTCCTGCAAACGATAAACCCTAAACCCTAAACCCTAGACACTAGGCGGCGAATACTACGCTAGTGCATCGGGCGGAGGGGAGTGGTACGAAGGGTAAGAGAGGATGCTCGACAGACAGTAGAGTGGAAGCACGGCTTAGGGCTTGGATTGAACCGTTAAGGGTGTAGGCTCTAGGGTCAAGGGTTTAGGGTTTAGGGTTTAGGGTTTAAGAGCAACTGAGTCGCCGAGCTGTCAATGCTGGTGTTACGGCAAAATGAGCAGCATTGGTTAACCGAACAATGGCATACAAAAGGCAAAGTAGAAACCCCATCATAAACCCAAGTCCTAAGAAACCCTAAACCCTGGACCCTAAACCCTAACGCGATCAGCGGAGAGCGTGTGTGCCGTCGGCTTCTACGGGTCTAGGGTTTAGAGTTTAGGGTTTGGGTGTTAGCGCAGTTCATTGATTGTCTAACGAATACACACAATTCTCGTCTAAGAGTTTAAACTACACGGTTTAGATGTTGGGGTTTAGTGTTTAGCGTTTAGGGTTTAGTGTTTAATGCGTAGTGTTTAGGGTTTTAAGGTCGATTGGGGGCCAGCGTTAAGGTGACCTCCGGGTCACCCCGCACCCAAGCAGGGCCTCATGCGTATTTAGGGCCTAGGGTCTAGGGTTTAGGCTTTAGGGTTTTTGAATCAAACTTTTTAAACTTTTTAAATATTTTTGCTTCTTTTAAGGAAATCTTTTTAAATTATATTTATTGCCAGCCAGTGTGGCTGCTGCTGCAACGCGGCGCCTTGAGGCGACCCGTTTTGAGGGCTTAGGGTTTAGTGTTTAGTGTTTAGGGTTTACCATCATTTGTGGATTCCTCCGAATCTAGATGGAAATTCACCTGCTGGGCCGCAGACGGTCGTTCCTGAACTCCAAACCCTAAACCCTAGGTCCTAAACCTCAAACCCGAAACCTTAATCCCTAACGCCCTCGAAGAGCAGCGATGCTGCATTCAACTCACCCGCGTCTAGGTGTAGTTATGGGCAACCCCACCCCTCATCCTCCCTGTACACTGCAAAGGGGATATGGAGGAGTTGCTGCGCTGCTGCAGCAGCTAAACTGCGGCAGCAAATGTGTGCAGGCGCAGGCAGTCGCTGCGCTAGATTCCTTCTTCGTACAAGCCGAGCAGTGTGTTGCCGCATACAAAGCCGGTAACGATTGTTTAGGGTTTGCCGTTTAGGGGTTACGGAATGGGTACCGTATTTGGATTATTTAGTGCAGAGGAAGGTCTAGGTTTCAGGGTTTAGTGTTGTGGCTTAGGGTTTTGCCTTCAGGCTCGGTGTTTAGAGTTTAGGGTTTAGGGTTTACGGTGTTTTGTGTATGAAAGGCATAATTCCCCTCCTTATTCAATTTGCTGCTGGCAAGGTGCAGCCCATAAAGCGTTTGTCTGTCAAGGCCTTGGCGAGGTAGAACTGCAGCAGCAGCAGAAACAGCAGCAGCAACAGCAGCAGCAGCAACAGGAGCAGCAGCAGCTGCTGCAACAGGGCGGTAGAAGCCACAGAAAGACACAAACTGATACAAATACGTCCTCCTTGATGCCGCTCCTGCAACTAGTACTTACGCATGCTGTTGCTGCTGTTGCTGCTGTTGCTGCTGCTGTTGCTGCTGCTGCGACAGGTTTGCGTCTCATGACGGGCCACGTCGTTTGCTGCTGCTTCCCCCTGCTGAGCAGCAGCAGCAGCAACTTCTACTACTGCTGCAGCAGCAGCAGACCATTCGTTTGTATTTGAATCAGCCCGGGCTATCGAAAGAACGGCAGCAGCAGCTGCAAATGCAGCAACAGCAGCTGCAGCAGCAACAGCAGCAGTTGCTACAGCAACCGCAGCAGGAATTGCTACTGCCCTTGCTGCCGTTACTAGACGACAGGGACACAGAAACTCGAATGGCTTTTATTCAACTCTCCCTTCATGTTGCTGGCAGGCGCGAAGGTAAGACAGCAGCATCAGCAACATCAACAGCAGGAAAAGCAGCAGCAGCAACATTGTCTGAGTCTTCTGCTGCAGCAACAAACCAGTGAACATAAATACTTCCGGACACTCCGCACATTTTCCGTAGCAATTTAAACAGCAGCGACAGCAGCAGCAGCAGCGACAGCAGCAGCTGGAACAGGGGCAGCAGCAGCACCAGTGTGTGTTGTTGCTGCAGGAGCGGAGTTCCTAATTGTAAAGGGGGTGCTGCAGTCAGTGCTGCAGCGGCTGCTGCCTCCTGATGCAGTAAGTAACACATATGTGTCTCTTTTAATAGAGGAGCTGCAGCAAAAATGGGAGGAGCAACAGCAAAAGCAGCAGCAGCAAAATCCTCAGCAGCAGCTCCTACTGCAGCTAGCGCAGTCGCAGCAGCAGCAGCATCCGCAGCAGCAGCGCGGCTTCCCTCCTGGATGTGCTGACGGTGCCTTCGGCTTTGTTCGAGAAGCTTGCTGCACGCAGCAGCAACCGCAGCACCAGCAGCACCAACAACAACAGCAACTACAACGGCCGCAGCAGCAGCAACACCAGCAACAGAAGCAACAGCAGCAGCAGCAGCAACAACTGGAAGTTCTGCATCAGCTCGTGGAGAGGTCAGACACTGGACGTGTTCACTTTGGCGCCTGCAGCAGTGCAGCAGCGGCAACTCCTGCTGCTGCAGGCAGCAGCAGCAGCAACGGCAGCAGCTGGTGCAACGGAACCACCGTTGCGTATATACCTGAAACACTTTGTATCGACGGTTTCTTTGGGTACATACGCTGCTGCAGCAGCGGTTGCAGCAGTAGCAGCAACTACAGCAGCAGCAGCAGGTGCTGCCCAGCTGGCTATATACCGGAAACACGCTGCTTAGATGGTTTCTTTGGCTTTATCCGCTGCGCGAGCCACTGCAATAGAAGCAGCAGCAGCAGCAGCAGCAGCAGCAGCTGTTGCGACAAGTTAGACTACATGCAGCAGCGTATGCTGGCATATGGAGGGTATGGATGGGTCTCATTCCCCATGGCATGCAGCAGCAGCAGCAGCAGCAGCAGCACGTGCAGCAGCCCATTAGAATTTATGCAGCAGTGCATGCTAGCATATGGAGGGTATGGATGGGTTACATTCCCCTTTGCATGCAGCAACAGCAGCAGCTGCAGCAGCTGCTGTTGCAGCAGCAAGGCAGACTTCATGCAGCAGCGCATGCTGGCGGATGGCGGGTACGGATGGGTCTCATTCCCCTTGGCTACCACCGGCAGCAGCAGCAGCTGCAGCAGCAGCAGCAGCAGCAGCAGCTACGCTATCGATGGTGCCTATGGGTTTGTTAGGGAGGCATCCCCCGCAGCAGCAACAGCAGCAGCGACACCGCAAGACAGCTACGAGCAGGTGCTACAGCAGCGCCAGCAGCAGCGGCAGAATCACCGCATCCCTTACATGCATGGGTCCCCATGCCACTGGGCCTATTACGAGGTGGTGGCGCAGCAGCAGCAGCAGCAGCAGAACAGGAGGCTTAACATACATCCGCGTGTATGGCTAACAGTGGATGTCTCCCAGCAGGTGCAGCAAATCCTGCTGCTGCAACAGCAGCAGCAGCTGCAAAAGCTGGTACAGCTGCAGCAGCAGCGGGTAGATGAACTCATTACCCCCCCAAGCATCCCACATGCTGCAACAGCAGCAGAGACAGCAACAGCAGCAGCAGAAGCTGCAGCAGAAGCTGCAGCAGAAGCTGCAGCAGAAGCTGCTGCTACAGGAACGGAGAAGCATCTTGAGGTTGCGGCGACAACGGCAGCAGCAGCAGCAGTAACTGTAACTGCAGCAGCACCAGACCCCCCGATGAGGGAGGACCACGGTGCTGCTGCTGCTGCTGCTGCAGTAGACTACTCTTATCCGTCAGCAGCAACACCAGAACCAGAACCCGAAGCAGAAACACCTGCTGCAGCAGACTGCAACCGATTGCAGCCGCCAGCACCAGCACCCGTATCAGCAGCAGCATCAGCACCATCAGCAGCGTCAGCAGCAGCAGCAGCTGCAGCAGCTGCAGCAGCAGCAGCAGCAGCAGACCTCAGTATTCCATGCCCAGCTACTAGGACAGAGCGTGCTGCTCTGCTGCAGCTGCTGCATGCATTTGCTGCTGCATCTAACACAGGCCTTGATGTAGCAGCAGATATAAAACCCCAAGCAGTGCAGCAACTATTTGATTGGGCATTTGCTGCTGATGTTGCTCCTCCTGCTGCTGCTGATGCTGCTGCTGGGGGCCCTCCCTGCAACACGTGTGGAAGAGGCAGAGGCACCAGCAACAGCAACAGCAGCAGCAGGAAATCATCTGCAGTAGAGCAAGACACTACGCCTGCTGCTACAGAAGCAAGGGCAGCAGCAGCAGTAGTTGCTGCATCTGCTGGTGCATCCCCTAGAGCAGTAGCAGCAGCATCTGTTGCTGCTACCCCTGCTGTTGCTCCTACCCACAAGAAAACAGCAGCAGCAGCAAACAGCAGCACCTCTACTACATCCTCCCGCCAACTACTGAGCAAGCAGCAGCAGCAGCAACAGCAGCAGCAGCTGTTTGTCTCTGGCTCGAGCCGCAGCCCTTCCCCCAACCCCCCTGCTGCAGCTGCTGCTGCAGGCACGGGGGGAGGAGCAGCAGGCACAGGAGGAGGGGCAGCAACAGCAGCAGCAGGAGCACCAAACCCTGCTGCATCAAGGAAAACTTACATTGCACAGCTGCTGCGGTTTATATCTATAGTAGCAGGACTAAAGGTGCAGCAGCAGCAGCCTGTGCTGCTAGCAGCAGGTTTGCTGCCGCGCTTAGAGGCACTCTTATCTTTGCTGCTGCAGGGAGCAGCAAACCCCACCCCTCCCTGCAGCAGCAGCAGCACCTGCAACGCAACTAGCAGCAACAGCAGTAGTAGCAGCAAAGGCAACAGTAGCACCGGCAACAGCAACAGCAGCAGCAGCAACCACAACAACAGCAGCAGCAAGGGGTGTCCTAAAACAGGGGGTCAGTGGCTTGCTGTGTCTCTACACCCCATCACTTTCCCCACACCTTGGGACTGCGGCAAGCAGCAGCTGCTGCTGCAGCAGCAAAAATCTACGGAGAACGTACGCAATATACAGGTAAGGATATACGTACCTAACTAGCTAGCTATCTAGCTAGCTATTTAGTTGCCCAGCTATTTAGCTAGCTAGTTATTTAGTCAACTATCTAGTCACCATTTAGCTAGCTAACCTAGCAGCTACCTAGCTAGCTGCAAGGTCAGTTGGCTTGACTAGCTAGCTAACTAGCTAGTCAATATAGCAGCTGTGTAGCTAGCTGAGGAGTTCTGCATTCTGCTGCTGTTTGCTGCCAGCTGTAGCTAGCTGCTGCTATCTGCTGCAGGGAAAGCTAGCTGCTTGCTGCTGCTGCTGCTGCTGTTGTTGTTGATGCAGAAGGAGATAAAAGCTTGTCTGTTTGCTGCCAGCAAAGGATGCCCTCCCCCTCCTCCTTGTGCCTATGCGGCAGAGCGGCTGCTGCTGCTCAGCTGTCTCTGCTGCTGCTGCATGCCCACAGAAGCTGCGCAGCCGCAGCCGTCGCAGCAGCAGCAGCAGCAAGAAGGGGAAACGGAGATGCCTACCTCCCTAGTGCACTTAGTTGCAGCTGCTTGCCTCCTAGAACAAGAACCCGCCAACCTCAATATGGTAAACCCTAAACCCTAAACCCTAAATCCTATACTAATTTCTTTAAACCCTGAACGCCAAACCCTAAACCCTAAACCCTTGCAGGACGTGTTTTGTTACAGGCTCTACAGCTCGCGACGTTGTTGGCTCTGCGCCCGCAGCAGCGGCAGATGCTGCGTCCTTTGCTGCAGCAGCAGCTGCAGCAGCAGCAGCAGCACTTAGAAGTGATGATGAGGGAGACAACAAACAACAAAGAGAGACAACTGCAGCAGCAAACAGCAACTCTTGTTGCTACGCTTCTTGCTTCCCTGCAGCGCAGAGGAAGCACTCCAGCAGCAGCAGCAGCATCAGCAGCAGCAGCAGCAAGCTCTGCAGCAAAGGGTCATCCTTCTGCTGCTCCTGCTGCTGCTAAGAAGCACTAAACAGAGATACAGCAGCAAAACAAAACAAAATGCTGCGGGCAGCACCGCAGCAGCAGCAACTTCCTCTTTATTTATTTAAGTATAAATAAATAAATAGATAATTATTATTATAATTAATCATTAATTAATTAATTAATAATAAATAGGAAAAGTATTTCAATTAATTTAGTTGCTGCTGTGTATAACAAGGGAATTCTTCCTATACTGCAGCAGGAAGACATAAGCAATAACTTCCTGCTGCTGTTGCAGCAGTAGAAGCAGCAGCAGCTGCTGCTGATGCTGCTGTTGCTGTTGCTGCTGCAGAAGAAACACGAGACATATCTTCAGATAATTGCAGCAGTAACAACAGCAGCACGAGCAGCAGCAGCAATAAGAACAGCAACAGCAGTAACAGTTACAGCAGCAGCAGCAGCAACAGCAGCAGCAAAGCTTTTATTCCTATGAAAGCACTTAATTGCTTATACAAAGATAAAAGAAAAAAGAATAACAGCAACCGCTGCAGCAAGAGCAGCAATGCAGCAGCAGCAGCAGCGGAAGCGGCAGCGGCAGCGCATGTTGGGGGGCGCTGCCGACAGCTCACCGATGTAGAATCAGCAGCATCAGCAGCAGCAGCAACAGCAGCAGCAGCAGCAGCAGCAGCAGCAAAAGATAATAATTGTTACATATTGTCAGTGAGCTTTAAGGGTTTATTATTATTTCTGTTTGTCTTTGGGTGTATAAACGGCTATTGCTGCTGCTGCTGCTGCTCGTGCTGCTGCTCCTGCTGTCCTCAGCGGCAAAAACCCGAGACATTTGCCGGATCTTAGGAGCAGAAACAGCAGCAGCGGCAGCAGCAGAAGTATCATAAGCAGCAGCAGCGGGATCTGCTGTACGACGAGCAGCAGCAGCAGCAGCTGTTGTGTGCACAATCGCCTCTATGGAACTCCGAAGTCGGGAGCGATGCAGCAACAACCGCGACAGGAGCAGCAGCAGCAGCAGCAGCAGCAGTAGCAACAGCAGCAGTAGTAGTAGCAGCAGCAGCAGCAGCAGTACTAATGGAAGAGAGAATGTGGATAAATCAGAGTTGCTTATAAGCAGCAAGTACAGTAACCTCCCCTCAGCGAACTGCAGCAGCAGCAACAGCAACCACAGCAACAACACCCGTAGCCGCAGCAGCAGCAGAAGCAGCCCAAGGAGACCAAACGGCAGCACATATGAGAGCAGCAGCAGCATAGGCAGCAGCAGCGGCAGCAGTTACCGTCGTCGTCGTGCTCGTCGTAGATTATCCCCAAGATCCCAAGCAGCAGCAGCAGCAGCAGAAGCAGCAGAGAAAAAAGAATTAGCTGATGCTGTATATAGAGCTTTTCTTGCTGGTCCCTCTATATATACAGAAGAAGGAAGAGCAATAGAAAGAGAAACAAGAGATCGTGATTACCTTCTGCATGCAAGACTAGAGGCAACGCAGCAAGCAGCAGCAACAGCAGCAAATAGGAGAGAATATGTTATACAAAGATTATTAGTAAGAGAAAACATAGAACAAACACAATCATCTTTTTCTTTCCTTAGTATACCTGCATTATTAGGGGAAGCTTCCTTGCTGCTGCTGCTGCTTGTCCTTTCTTTGCTGCTTACTCTTCTATGGATATTACCTAATGAATATATACAATATAATATTTTTTATGCTTTTCTTTCTTTTCTTTGTATACTTATTTGTCTTCTTGTATTAAAGGTTGGACCTAGATCCTTCCTTTGCTTCCGATTCTAGCACTACTGCAGCAGCAGCAGCAGCAGCAAGTGCAGCACCAACAAGTGCAGCAGCAGCAGTCGTTGGGGTAGGGGTTGGGGGAGGGGGAGAGGAGTAGTACTGGCAGCAGCAGACGCAGCAGCAAACGGATATACACTTCTCCCTTTATATTCAGGGATGCCTCCCGCTGCGAATTGCTTCCGTGCATAGATGCAGCAGCAGCAGCAGCAACAACAGCAGCGAAGTCGTCATGCATCGGCTATTCTGCAGCTTGCTGCTGGCCTTCTCCACAAGCAGCAGCAAGAGCAGCAAGAGCAGCAGGAGCAGCAGGAATTGCAGCAACCGCCTGTGGTGACGGCTACTGGAGCAGCAGCAGCTACTCCAGTAGCCGCTGCAACTGCTGCAGCTGCTGCAGCAGCGGCAGCAGCAAGCACCAGCTTCAGCTGGTGCGCTGTGCATTTGTCTTAGCAGCAGCAACTGCAGCAGCATCTGCAGCAGCAGCAGCAGAAGATGTTTGGCGGTTTGCTGCAGCGTCTGCTGCTGCAGCACTGCAGCAGCTTATTAGAGGATTGTAATCCGCAGCAAATATCTTTATGGCGCAGCAGCGTAGTTATAGCAAATGTTAAATTAAAAAAAAATATAATTAAAGATTTATTCAAATTAGATGGATTACAGTAAACCCTAAACCCTAAACCCTAAACCCTAAACCCTAAACCCTAAACACTTTTTAGTCCGAGTGGCAGAAAACGCCGTGCGGAGATCGTCTTTGCAACCCTAGAAACACTGCTGCTGCTGTTGCTGCTGTTGTTGTTGCTACTCTTCGTGCTGCTGCTCATGCTGGTGCTGCTGCTGTTGATGCCTGGAGAGCGTGAGGGTTTAGGGTTTAGGGTTTAGCGTTTGTGTGTGTAGGCTGGTGGAGGGCTCAGCAAAAGAGTTTCGAGCGTCTGTCATTTGGGGAAGACAGCCAACTCTGCTGCTGTCTTTTCAGTTCTTAAATATTGTGCTGCAGCGCCACAGCAGCAGCAGCAACAGCAACAGCAGCAACAGCAGCAGCAACAGCAGCAACGGTGGTGATAACGATACAACTCGCGAAACTACAGCAGATAGAAGCAGTAACAGCCAGGCCTCTGTTGCTGCAGACTCATGCAGCAGCAGCAGCAGCAGCAATGCCACTGCAGCAACAGCAGCAGCAGCAGGCCTAGCAGCAGCAGCAGCTGCTACCAGTACGCAAGCTGCAGGAGGGCACGTCTCTCCTGATGCAGCAGCAACAGCAGGTGCTGCTGGCACTGCTGGTGGCACAAGCGCAGACAGCGACGCAGCAGCAGCGGCTGCTGCTGCGACAGCTAGCTTACGACGCACCAGCAGCAGCAGCAGCAGCGGCACGGTTGCTGAGGGCTGGCAATGGGGTTCCTCGCTGCTGCTGCCGCTGCTGCTAGCCATAGAGCTGCAGCTAACTAATGCGAATATAAAGCTGCTGCAGGGGCCGCATGCAGTATCTGTTGCTTTGTCCTCTCTTACAGTTCGTCTGCCGCAGCAGCAGCAACAGCAGCAGCAGCAGCAAGGATTGCTGCACGGAGATAGCGATAGCAGCACACACCACTCACGACACTTTTCTGAGCTGCTGCAGCAGCTGCAGCAGCAGCAGCACTCGCTGCAGCGGGAATGTCTCTTGAAGGATCTCACTATCTGCATTGATACAGAGCAGCAGCAGCAGCAGCAGCAGCAGCGGATGTGGAGGATCCGACGCAGCAGCAGCCAGCTGTCTGCCGGCCTCCCACCTTCAGCACTTTTGGCGGAGGCTTCCCTAGCACCAGAAGCAACTGCTGCTGCTGCTGCCGCCGCAGCAGCAGCAGCAGCAGCTGCTGCTGCAAATAATCCACGCGATGCAAAAGCCGCGGCAGATGCTGCAGTAGCTGCAGTAGGAGAAACAGAAGCCAAGGCAGCAGCAGCAGCAGCAGCAACGACGCAAGCTTCAGCAGCAGCTTATAATAGCGTTGAAGAACGCAAAACCCTAGACAGCGTAGCAGCAGCAGCAGCAGCAGCGGCGGCGGCAGCAGCAGCAGCAGTTGCTGCTGCAGGTACTGCAATAGGAGGTCAAAGCGGACAGCAGCAGCGGCAGCACAATTACGAGCAGCCGTTGCTGCGGCGGTGGGCCTGCAGCATTCGTTTCTCCTTCCCTCTGCAGCAGCAGCAGCAGAAGCAGCAGCAGCAGCAGCAAGCAGCAGCAACACCAGACAGGTTTTGTCTTGATGCGTTGCTGCAGCCGCTGCACCTGCGGATCAGCAGCAAACAGCTGCATGCGCTGCGGTCTGTTCTCTTCGACAAGCCTCCTCCTCTCCCGCCTCCGCAGCAGCAGCAGCAGCGGCAAGAGGGACAGCAGCAGCAGGAGGAAATTCAGCCGCTAGACGAAAAAGAAAAGCAGAAGCAGCAGCAGCAGTTAGGAGCAGCTTCCGACGCTTCGCCCTGTAGTATGTGTGTAGAGGGCGGCAGCGACGAGCAGCAGCAGCAGCAGCAGGAAGAGCAGCAGCAAGAAGAGCAGCAGCGGCAGCGGCAGCAGGAAGACACTGATGCAGCGGGGAGTTGTCCTTCGTCGCCTTCGCAGCAGCATGGAGAGCAGCAGACCGATCAGCAGCAGCAGCAGCAAGGCAACCAAGAACAGCAACAACATCTGCAGCAGCAGCAGCAGCAGCAGCTGTCTCGATTATCCCTACAAAGCCCTGCTTGGCGGCGCTTGCCACAAGTTGCTGCTTGTGTCCCACAGAGCACGAGTCAGAGCAGCAGCAACAGCAAGAGCAGCAGCAGCAGCAGCAGCAGCAGCAGCAGAGCTGAGCGTTGGCTGAAGTGGGCAGTTGACGCCTTCTTGGGGGATTCGTCAGAGGAAGAAACAGAAGTGGAGAAGCAGCAGCAACAGCAGCAGCAACAACAACAGCAGCAAGAGCAGGAGGCCAAGGGGCTCTCTGAGGCTGCAGGCTGGCCCACAACTGCAGAAGAAGCAGCAGCAGCAGCAGCAGCACCACCACCACCACCACCACCACCAAACGCTGGACCACACACCACTGCTGCGGAAAATGAACAGCAGCAACAGCAGCAGGAGCAGCAAGCTCTGTCCTTCAAGAGAGAGTGCAGCAGCAACAGCAACAACAGCAAAGTGCGTGGCGTATCCAGGGGCTCTGTGAGCAGCAGCTGCAGCAACGGCGAGAGCAGCAGCAGACGGGACAGCATCAGCAGCAGGTGCAGCAACGGCGGCAGCAGAAGCAGCAGGAGCAGTACGAGTGGCAGCATGAGTAGCCGGCATATCTCTATTGAGGATGACTTAGAGGAGGAGGCGCTGCTGCAGGATTTGCTGCAACAGCAGCAGCAGCAACAGAAGCCGCTGCTGCGAGGGGCCCTTGCTAATGCCTTAGTGTCTGTTAATCTGTCTTCTGTCTCCCTAACTCTTATTGCCCCACAGCCAGCAGCAGCAGCGCTGCAGCAACGGCGAGAGCAGCAGCTAGCATCAAGCAGCAGCAGCAGCAGCAGCAGGGCATTCTTTGCATGCGGCCTTGAAGGAGGTCGTTTGCTGCTCTCTCTTCCTCCTGCTGCTGTTGGCGTCCCTGAGGTGTATGTACATTTCCTGCAGGCATGGGCAAGAGACGCAACAGCAGCAGGACTCTACTTGCAGCAGCAGCAGCAACAGCAGCAGCAAACAGAACAACAACAGCAGCAGCAAGCGCTGCTGTCGTCAGAGCAGCAGCTGCTGCAGCAGGAAGGGTTCGTCTGCCTTCGAGCTGGCAGCGCTGCTGCTGCTGCAGCAACAACAGCAGCAGCTGGTGCACCATCCCCAGCACCTGCACGCGTAGAGGCAAACTCTACGACAGACACCAGTACCAACAGCAGCAGCAGCAACAGCAGCAGCAGCAACAGCAGCAGCAGCAACAGCAGCAGTAGCAGCTTTGGCAGCAGCAGCAGCAGCAATCCAAGCGTCGACTTAGGAAGTACACCGGCAAGAGGAGCTGCGCTGCAGTGCGGTCTCTTGTTCCTTCCCTCTCCTGCTGCAGCAGAAGCAGCAGCAGCAGCTGCTGCTGCTTCGCCACCAGACACAGGCAGTGCTGCTGCGGGGGGTATCAACACGTCCGGCTCAGCAGCAACAGCAGCAGCAGTAGCAGCAGCAGCAGGAGCAGCAGGATGCAGAGCCAGTGTGCTTGTGGGGCCCCTGAGTGTACACCTCACTGCTACGCTGCTGCATGAGCTGCGGCTCTTCTTTTGGCTGCCAAAGCAGCAGCAACAGCAACAGCAGCAGCAGCAGCAGCAGCAGCAGAGACTGTCAGATGAGTTAGCGGACGAACAACAGAGGCAGCAACAACAGCAGCAACAGCAGCAGCACCCGCTGGCGGAACTGCCTCTACGCACTTCAGGTAGCTGCTGCAGCAGCCACTACAGCAGCAACAGCAGCAGTAGCTCCAGCTCCTTGTGGCGCAGTAATAGTAGCAGCAGTAGCAGCAGCAGCAGCAGTAGCAGTAGCAGCAGCAGCAAGGCTAGTAGCAGAAGGTATCCTCACTTCTACTCCATAGAAGCACACGACCAAACTCTGAAGCAGCAGCAGCAGCAGCAGCAACAGCTGCAGCAGCAGCACCAAGCCAAGGGACGCAAGAACAAGAAGGATGCAGCAGCAGCAGCGGGTTCTGCTGCTGCTGCTGCTGCTGCTGTTGCTGGTGGAAATATTCATTTTGTGGTATCTGTGCCCGAGGTCGATGTGCGGTTGCTGCTGAGGCTTCCTGCTGCTGACAGCAGCAGCAGCAGCAGCAAGACGAGCAACAGCAACTCCAGCAACCAGCTGCAGCAACAAAGGTGGCACGGCGGATTTACAGCAGCAGCAGCAGCAGCAGCAGCAGCAGCAGCTCGTGGGCGAATCCATTGGCTGCACTTCGCTTTACGATCTGTCAAGTGAGAAAGTCAAACTCTAAACCCTAAACCCTAAACCCTAATTTCTATGCAGCGAACCCTAAACCCTAAAACCTAAACCCTACCTTCTGAGCAGTAAATCCTAAACTCTAAACCCTTTTTTGTACAGGAATTTTGCCTAATGGTGTGTATTTCTGCCTGAACTCGAGGGTTGGTATGCCTAGGGTTTAGGGTTTAGGGTTTAGGGTTTAGTGTTTTTGATTGTTCAGGATAAGCCGAACCGCGTTACCAGAGTATGTAGAGAGGGAGTTGCTGCCGTTGCTGCTGGCGCATTGCCTATGCTTTATTCCTGTGCTGCATGTAGCATATGCTGCTAACAGCGCAGCACCTGCTGCTACTGCTGCAGCAGCAGCTGCTGCAGCTGCTGCTGCAGCTGCAGCTGCTGGTCGTTCTGCTGTGGCTTCTGCGGCTGCCCCGACGCCTCCTGGTGGGGCACTGGCGAGGACAGGGCAACAGCAGCAGCAGCTGCAGCAACTGCAGCAGCAACAGATGCAACAGAAGCAGCAGCGGCAGGAGCAACGACAAAGCAACAGCAGCGCATCATTGACCATTGGATTGCTGCAGCTAAGAGTGCAGCAGCAGCAGCAGCATGCAGCAATGGATACAGATGCTGCTGCTGCCGCTGCAGATGATGATCCGCAGCAGCTACTGCTGCTAAAGGGATTGGAAGCTGAGATAAGACAGGAGGACGCCGATTGCAGCTCTGCTGCTGCTGCTGCTGTTGGGGCTGCTGCTGCTGTTGCTGCTGTACAGAGAGACCCAACGACAGCCATTCAATGCTCACCAACACAGCAGCAGCAGCAGCTTTCTTTGGCTGGACCACAGGCATACAGCAGCAGCAGTAGCAGCAGTAGCAGCAACAGCAGCACTGCTCCTCAGATTTGCCTGTATACTTCAGCTATGAGGGCTGCAGGGGAGGTGCAGTTGCTGCGCATCGGAGCAGCAGCATCAGACTTTGCTGCTGCTGCTGCTGCTGCACGCAGCCTAGCAGCTCATGCACTCGGGGTGTACGTGGAGCTGCATTTGCTGCGCCACATGGAGACTCCTCTTTACGTCAGGAGGCAGCACCAAATAACGGAGCTGCAGCAGCAGGGGGATTGGCTGCAACAAGAGGATCAGCAGCAGCAGCAGCAGCAGCAGGATGTACTGCAGCAAGGCTCGAGGCAGCGAAGCGAAACCAGCCCTGCTGCTGCTGCTGCAGCAACAATCAGTAGCTATGAAACGGGAACAGCAACAGCAGAGCCAACAGCAGAAGCAGCAGCAGGCTTGGAAGCAGCCGAAGCAGCAGCAGCGACGACAGAAGCAGCAGCAAATACAGCAACAGCAGCAGTAGCAACACCTGTGTGTGCTGCATGCTTCCGTTGCGGCTGTCTAGGCTGCTATGGGATCCCAATGGAGATTGCTGCTGCTGCTGCTGCGGGGAAGGTTGTTGCTCTATATGCAGCGGGAGCGGATTCGGAGGAGGCAGCAGCAGCAGCAGCAGCAGCTGAATCAGCTGGTGCTATAGAGACGCCGCACCGTCTGCTGCTGGAACTTAGTGGGGCTAGCTGCAGCGTCCGCTGCGCCTTGTATGGCGACAGCAGCAGCAGCAGCAGCAGCCACAGCAGCAGCACCTACAGCAGCAGCACCACCAGGTATAGCCTCAGCAGCAGGAGCAGCAGCAGCAGCAGCAGCAGGATCCGAGATGCCTTTGCTCCTCCGATTAGGCCACACCTGAGCAGAAGCAGCAGCAGCAGCAGCAACTCGTCTCTTCTCTTCCTTGAGGTGTATGTATCCATCAGCAACGGGAGAGGTTTGCTGCTGCTGCCTGCTGCTCCCTCTATAGGGATTCCTCTATTTGTTGCAGCAAATCAGCCGCAGCAGCAGCTGTTGCTGCCGGTGGCATGCCGTCCACCGCCGACAGCACCACCAGCTGCCGTTGCTGCAGCAACAGCGGCAGCTGCTGCTGTTGCTGCAGCAGCAGCTGCTGCTGAAAGTGCCACGGGAAAGAGCAGCACGGGAGGCCAAACGCTGGAGCAGTCGCTGCACGAGTACCAAACGCAGCAGCGGCAGCAGCAGCAGCAGCAGCTGTTGTCTAGGCGTATACAGCAGCAAAAGACGGTGGCAGCAGAACCGCTGATGACCCTCTGCATGCGATTTGTTGTGAGGCAGCAGCAAGACAGCAGCAGCAGCAGCAGCAAGAGCAGCGGTAGCTTCCCTGTATCGTTTGCTGCTTTGAGGCCCCCTGAGGGGCTGCTGCTGCTGCTGCCGCAGCCACCATTCAGGTGTTTCCTGCCGCAGCAGCAGCAGCTGCTGCAGCAGCTAACACGCGCTGCAGCAGCAGCAGCACATATGGACTCCGCTGCTGCTAGTCGTTGCCAGCAGCTGCAGCTGCTGCGAGCAGAAGCTGTCTCCGCAGCATCGCTGCAGCAGCCTCTTGTCTACTTCCGAGTCCGCAGCAGCAGCAGCAACAGCAGCAGCAGCATCGACAGCAGCAGCAGCACAAACTGCCTTATGCTCTACCCAGAGGTGGTATCCATGCTGCTTAGATGCTGCGCCGCACTGCAGCAAGAGGCTGCAACGGTTGCTGATGTTGCTGCAGCAGCAGCTGTTGCTGCAACAGTTACTCCTGCTTCTACTTCTGCTGCTGCCAGTCAACCGAGAAAACTCTCGTCTGAGCGAACTGTCCGCAGCAGCAGCAGCAGCAGCAAACATACCAACAGCTGGCGAGGCCTTAGTGCTGCAGCAGCAGCAGCAGCAGCAGCACGGCGGATGTGGCCCCTGCTGTTGCTTGATCCTGTAGCTGACTGCTATCTGCCTGAGTTGCTGCTGCGGCTCTGCAGGTCCCCTACAGCAGCAGCAGCAGCAGCAGATAGAGCAACAGCAGCAGCTGCTGCTGCTAAGGAGGGTACGCTGCTCTGCGCCTTGCTGCCCAGCATACGCTGGGAGAAACGACTGTTGCGCTGTGGAGCGTTTCGCGTATGGGGGCAGCAGCAGCAACAACAGCAACAGAAGCAGCAGCAAGAAGAAGAACGGCAGCAGCAGCAGCTTATGACCTGGCAGCAACGCGTAGAGATCGGGCCGCTGTCTGTACACCTCAAGACCTCCCGTTGCGGCTGGCTGTTCGAGCGCAGCAGTTTTAGTGAAGATGCAGCAGCAGCAGCAGCATCTGCAGCAGGCTCTGCGGCAGCAGGAGCAGCAGCAACGACGCTGCAGATCCTGCTACAGTGGGATAAGGAATTGCTGTTGCATGCAACAGATGCGGATGCTGCTGCTCTCCTGCTCTGGTGGCAGCAGCTGCCGACAGGACACTCACAGCAGCAGCCGCAGCAGCAGCAGCAGCAGCCGCAGCACCATACCACAAGTACTATTGTCAAGAGCTGCAGCAGCAGCAGCAGCAACCGCAGAAGAAGTCTATGGGAGGAATTGGGCGTAGAGGTGAGCAGCAGTTTTTCCGTCCAGCTGCTCATATCTCAGCAGCAGCATCAACAGCAGCAGCAGCAGCAGCAATTGCAGCAGCAGCAACAGCAGCGGGCCTTTGGATTTACATTGGGTCTTGGCGAGGTGCGCATAGAAATGTATAAGTTACCTGCTGCCTGCAGCAGCAGCAGCAGCAACAGTTTGCCTGCTCTTCTCAGTGGTTGGCGTTTTCTTGTGAGTCGTCCCTACGCTGCACTCCTGCAGCAGCAGCAGCAGCAGCAGCAGCAAGGAGCACCGTGCAGAAAGAGAGGCATTGCCGTATTCTCAGGAGCAGCAGCTTCTGCTGCTACTGCTGCTACTGCGGAAGAAGATGCAGCAGAATCAGCAGGGGTTTTGCTGCTGCATGCAGAGGAAGAAGTAGCAGCCCCACAGCTGAGTAACATCTCCTTACCCGTTGTTTCTCCGCCTGCTGCTGCTGCTGGCAGCAGCAGCAGCAGCAGGAATGGCAACAGCAGCTGGTGGCTCGCCTTTGCTGCTGAGAGGCGGGAAGGCGTAGTAGCCCTCCACAAGTGCCCCCAGAAGCTGCAGCAGCAGCTGCAGCAGCAGCAGAAGCGGCAGCAGCAGCAGCATGAGGAGGCTAGTGGTTGGTGTCTCCTCGATGGGGAGGCGGTGCTGCAGCAGGCATCATGGGGACTTGTCTTGCTGCCACTGACACTGCAGCTGCCTGCTGCTGCTGCTGCGGCAGCTGCCTCCATTCTCCGGTCGTTTGCTGAAGCAGCAGCAGATGCTGCTGCTGCTGCTAGTGGTTCTGCTGCGGCTGCTGCTACCTTAGGACAAACGGCGATTGCTTTGGAGTTCCTGAGACAGCGCTGTCTTCATCAAAAGGAAGCAGCAGCAGCTGCTGCTGCTGCTTCAGCTGCAGCTGCTGCAAAAGCTGCGGCAGAAGCTGCTGCAGGATCTACTGCAGCAGCAACAGTCATAGAAGAGACGTTGCCGCTGCTGCAGCGCAGCAGCTGGGAGATCCGCTGTGGTACCTTGGCGGTTAACTTTTCGGTTCCCGCAGCAGCAGCAGCAGCAGGGATAGCAGCAGAGTCAAGTGCAGCAGCAGCAGCAGCAGCAGTGGGAGCAGCAGGCCGTGTAGTAGTAACCATTGAGGATGGCTTTGCTTCTGGGGTATCTGTCCGAGCCTTCCATCAGCAGCAACAGCAGCAGCTGCAGCAGCAGCTGCAGCAGCAAGACGTTCACTGGGTGAAGCAGCAGGAAGTGCTGCTGCTGGCGAACATGAGTGCAGCAACTGCAGCAGTACCAACAGCAGCAGCAGCTGATGTCTTCCAGAGCTGCTGCGATCGGCTGTTCATACACCCCGTTAATCTGCGCCTGCATAAATCAAAGGGAAGCAGCAGCAGCAGCAACGGCAGCGGCACCAGCAATAATGATGGAGAGTGCTGCTGCTGCAGTACGCTGCTTCGCGCTTGCTGCTGTGACATTTGCTGCACCTGCAGCTACACCGTGAGTGGCGCCCCCTGTGGAGCTCATAGGCAGCAGCAGCAACAGCAGGAGCAACAGCAGCAGCAGCAGCAACTGCCGCTGCTGCTACGGCGGACACCGAGAGCGCTTGGAGAGCGCCTGCAGGCGCATGCATCTGCGGTGTACGTTGATCTCAGCGACTATGCTGTGTTGCTGCTGCTGCTGCAGCTGGTGCAGCAACTCCAACGTCATGCAGCAGAGTCAGCAGCGGCTGCAGCAACAGCAGCAGCAGCACTGGCAGCTTCTTCCCCAGAGGAGACTCCTCCACTAATATGGGAGGATCAAGAAGAGCAGCAGCAGGACCAGCAGCAGCAGCAGCAGCAAGAGGTTTGCATGCTTGTGGATGCTGTAGACGTGCTGCTGGCTGCCCCGTGGGCTGCTGCAGCAACGGATGCAGCAGCAGCACCCGCTTCAGCAGGAACAGCAGCAGCAGCAGCAGCTGGTGTTAATGCTGGTGCAGCTGACTTGTTGTGGTGCGGGGACGGTGTCTCCTCTACTCGTTCAAGTTGCAGCAACAGCAGCAGCAGCTGCAGCAGCAGCAGCAACAGCAGCACCATGAGCAGCAGCAGCAGCAGGGGCTGCTGCCAAAGCCGCAGCAGCAGCTGCAGCTTGTACAGAGGCGCCAGGCGTTCTGCATGCACAGCTTCAGAATCAGCAGCAGCAGGTAACGCAACAATGGATATGCCCACAGCAGCTGCAGCAGCAGCAGCAGCAGCAGCACAGCAAACGAGCGATCCTGTTTCGCATATGCTGCAGCAGGTTGCAGAAGATCGACGCTGCATGCGGCGTTTGCTGCTGCGAGCAGGAGAGCAGGTGCCTGTTGCTGCTGCTGCTGCCGCTGCTGATGAACATATCGCTCTAAGGGCTTCAGGGCTGCAGTTGGAGCACCGCAGCAGCAGCAGCAACAGCAGCAGCAGCAGCAGCAGGAGAGTAGCCCTGCGATCCCTAATGCTGCAGGTTGGTCGATCTGCTGTGGCGTCTGTACACCCGACAGCCCCACCATCGCCTGCTCCGAAGCAACAGCAGCAGCAGCAGCAGCCACAGCAGCTGCAAGAGCAGCAGTATGAGCAGCAGCAGCAGCTGCCGTGCGGCATTGAAATTATTTGGCGAGTGACACCAGGCCTCAAGACGTCCGCAGCAGCAGCAACAGCAGCAAAAGCAGAAACAGCAGCAGCAGGAACAGAAGCAGTAGCAGCAGCAGCAGCAGTTGAAAGGACTGCATACATCGGCAACGTGGCGCTGCTGCTGCACCCACGAGCAGCAGAGCAGCAGCTACTGCAGCTGTCAAGACAGCCATTGCTGCTGTTGCTGCAGCAAACTTTGGATGCGTCGGAGTCACCCTCTTCAGTGCAGCAGGAGCAGCAGCAGCAGCAACAGCTGCAGCAGAAGCACAAAGGCCCTCTGCAACAGCAGCAGCAGCACGTGGACAAAGTGTTTCTTAACTTCCTGCTGCTGCATGTTGCAAGCGGCAGCAGCAGCAGCAACCTAAGAGCTGTGCGGCTGCTGCTGCATCAATTCGCCCTAGTTGTATGGCCTGTACAGAAGCAGCAGCAGCAGCAACTGCAGCAGCAGCAACTGCAGCAGCAGCAACTGCAGCAGCAATTGAAGCAGCAGCAGTGGGTGGAAATCTGTGAGATGCGGCGGCGGTTGTCTCCTTCCGCTCTATACAGCTGCATCCCATCTACAGCAGCAGCAGCAGCTGCTGCTGCAGCAGGAAGCAGCAGCATGCGTACAATTGATGCTGCTGCTGCTGCAGTGTCTCTCTGCTGCTGGGCAGCAGCAGCGCCGCTGCAGCAACTGCCGCTGATACCGCCTCTTCGACTAGGAGGTAGTCTATCTCTGTATAGCAGCAAATCCCCTGCTGCAGCAGCACATCCTGCAGCAGGAGCAGCAACAGCAGCACTTCCCTTAGAAGAAGGGTCTGCAGCAGAGCTTGCATGCGCTTGTCTGCGGAGTCTGTACACCTCAGCGGGGCTAAAGCTTTCTGCTGAACCTGCAGAAGCAGCAGCAGCGGCAGCATCAACTGACAATGCTGCTGCTGCTGCTGCTGCTTATACAGAAGCGAATGCAGAGCTGCGTGTGTCTCCTCTGCTGCTGCGTTTGTCTCCTTGGAGGTTGAGGCTTCTGCAGCAGACGCTGACAGGGTTGAGTGACATGGCAGCAGCAGCAGCAACTGCTGCTGCTTATGCTGATGCTGCTGCTGGAAGTGCACAAGACACAGGTGGCGCCACAGCAGCAGCAGCTATAGCAGCCCCATCTTCTCCGTCAGCAGCAGGAGAGGGAGCAGCAGCAGCAACAGCAGCAATGGATGACGAGGTCGTACACTGGCAACTGCTTCCTTTCAGTCTGTTGCTGCAGCCAGTGAGCACCGCAGCAACAGCAGCAACAGCAGCAATAGCAGGAGCAGCACCAGACGGTCAACGACACCGCTGCTGTCCGTGTTTGCCGCTGCGGGCTGTTTCTGCATGCAACAGCTTCTGCGGCGACGAGGAGCAGCAAGCTGCAGCAGCAGCAGCAGCTCTCGAGCCGATGCAAGCGTTCTGTTGCAGCAGCGCGTCCCCAGCAGCAGCAGCAACAGCAACAGCAGCAGCAGCAGGGTACGGGTCGGTGCATCAGCTGAAGGCTTTGGTTTGCTTTCCTATGCCCGTTGCTTTGGTCTCTGCTGCAGTTGGACGTTGCATGCACTGCTGCCATCAGCAACACGAGCAGCAGCAGCAGCAGCAGCAGCACGAGCAGCAACACTACTGGATAGTGCAGCAAGTTGAGGTGTACGATGAGCTCCAAAGACGCTTCTGTGGGGTCGCATTAGGGCAGCCAAAGATCAGCAGCAGCAGCCTTGTAGCGCGACGATTCAGAATTACGCTGCTGCTGCTGCAGCAGCAGCAGCAGCTGGGGCCAGACCAGCAACCAAACGCGTTACAGGAGCAGCAGCAGCTACTGCTGCTTGCTGCCTTCCCCGTGCTGCGCGCACCCTTGCGGCAGTTGAGGCTGTCGCTTCAGTCCAGCGGCTGCTGCGTTACCTTTGCGCATGCAGCAGCAGACACAACAGCAGCAGCAGCAGCAGAAGCAACGGGACCATATCCCTTCGATGCTCTAGGCATCGAGGCTCCGTCTCTTGAAGCAGCAGCAGAGGCCTTGCATGTGTCACTGCAGCAGGTGTCTCCTATATACCCGCAAGGCGGTCCTGCTGCTGCTGCTGCTGGCCTTGCTGCAGCGGGGGGTGTTGCGCTGCGGCTGCGGCTAGATCAGCTAAGGGCGCGGGTGCAGCAGCCGTCGACGCTACAGCCGCTGCAGCTGCTGCACTGCCCTGCCGTGACGCTGCAAGCAGCAGCAGCAGCAGCAACGGCATCGGCAGCAGCAGCAGCAGCAGAGCGTATTAGTCTCCATCCTGCACTGACACGGCTGCCCCCTGGCGGTTGTGCTGTTGCTTTGCTGCTGCAGGAGCAGCTGACTGTACACCTCGACAGCCTGCGTCTGTGGCGAGCAGCAGCAGCAGCAGAAGCAGCAGTTGCTGCGCTGTCACCTGATGAATATCCTGTCAAGACACAGCAACAGCAGCAGCAGCAGCAGCATCGAAAGGAGCAAGGGCAGGCATGTGTTGCAGTGCAGCAGCTGCAGCAAATGCCTCCTCATGTGCCACTGCTGCTGCTGAATCTGCTACCTGTGCCACTGCTGCTGCAGCAGGCAGCCTTTGGTGGCTCGTTGCTGCTGCCGCCAGGTGCAGCACGAGCTGCATTCTGGTGTCTCCCCACTGCATATCCTAGCAGCAGCAGCAGCAGCAGCAGCAGTAGCAAAGACCGAATGGCCCTGCGTTTTGCGCTCGCCTGCGGTGGCGGCTGGTCAGCGCCTGTCTTTCCTGTTGTTGCTGCTGCAGGAGCAGCAGCAGCAGCAGCTGCTGCTGCTACAGCTGGAACAAAGAATGCCCCTGCTGTGGCATGGGAGCCGTTGCTGCTGCCTGCTGCTTCGGGAACCTCTTGTGTGCTGTTGCTGCCCAGCCCAAGCAGCAGCAGCAGCAGCAGCAGTAGCAACAGAGTTATGTATAAAGTTTGGTTCGGTGTCTGTAGGGTCTCCCCGCTGCAGACTTGCTGCTTCATCTGTCCCCCGCTGCTGCTGCAGCAGCACAAGCTGCTGCTGCCGATCTCCTTCCGTACAGATATAGGCGAGCAGCAGCAGCAGCAGCAGCAGAAACAGCAGCAGCAGCACGGCGACTTTGGCCTCTGCTTCCAGAAGGAAGTGCCGCCCCTCCAGAAGCTGCTGGAGGTGCTGCTGCCAAGGGAGAAGCCCAATCGGCAGCAGCAGCAGCAACAGCATCAGCAGAAACAGCAGCAGCAGCAAGACCAACAGCAGCAGCAGCAACAGGAGCAGCAGCAGCAACAACAGCAACAGTACAATTCTGTTACTTGCTGCGCTAGTGAAGGCGCGCTCCAGCAGCAGCATCTGATGGCACCTCAGCAGCAGCAGCAAGAGCAGCAGCATGCAACCCATCAGCATCAGCAGCAGCAACAACAGGACTTCGACTGGGCAGCAACAGCAGCAACTGTGGGGAGTCTGCATCCTGCTGCTGCTGCTGCAATTCTCCCCCCTGTTGCTACACCCCTCTCTGTATCCTTGGCGATCGGTTTGTATCCAGCGGTAGCATCAACAACAGCAGCAACAGCAGCAGCTGCTGCTGCTATTTCAACAGGTGCAGCATCAGCAGCAAATGGCTCCTTCAGCAACCCCTTGCTGCTGCTGCAGGCAGGCAGCAGCAAAGATCTGCTGCAGCAACGCCGGCAGCGTAGCCTCCTACGATGGTTACAGCAGCAGCAGCAGCAGGAGCAGCAAACCTTCCAGGCAGGTTTTGTGCACCTCCCCTCTGCATCTCGCATGCAGCAGCACCAGCAGCAACAACAGCAGCTGCAGCAGCAGCAGCAGCAGGTAGAGAGCAGTGCATGTGTCTTTTGTTACGCTGGAAATGTAGAAGAGGACGCCTTCGATTGCTGCAGCAGCAACAGCAGTGGCAGCAGCAGCAGCACGGGGCCTCTGATGCTGCGCATGCGCCCTGCGCTCTATACAGCAAACTGCAGCAGCAGCACTTTGCTGCTGCAGCTGCAGCACAGCAACTTCGGAAGGACGCAGGAGCTGCTGCTGCAGCCTAACTCTGCCCTTCAGGTTCGTTGTTAATTGCTGCTGCTGCTGGCATTGCTGCTGCTGCTGCACGCTGTTCATTGGATGGTCTTTTACCTGCTCCTGCTGCTGTTGCTGCTATTGCTGTTGCTACTATGTTTGCTGTTGCTGTTGCTGCTGCTGCTGCCATCGCTGAGCAACGGGGGAAAATGTGTGTATTTCTGTTGGGTGCATGCAGGTTACCGATGCTGAAGCACCGCAGCTGGTTGCTGCAGCAGTGCATTTAGTGGGCACTGCTGCTGCTGCTCCAGCTGCTGCTGCTGTTGCTACAGAAGCAACAGCGGCAGCAGCAGCACAGGAGGAGATGCAGCAGCAGCAGCAATTTTTGCTGCTGTCACAACAGCCGATACCACTAACAGCAGCAGCAGCTGCTGTACCGGCGGCCCCTTCAACAGCAGCAGCTGCTGCCTTGAACAGCAGCAGCAGCAGCAGCAGCTCAGCTGCTGATACCGTTGCAGGAACAACCTTCAGCTGCTGTTGGACGTCCCTCACTCTTGTCAGGCAGCACCTGCCGCCGCTGCCGCCGCCGCCGCCGCCTCAGCAGCAGCAGCAGCAGCAGCAGCACGGTGGCAGCAGGAATAGCAGCAACATAAGCATCGCCGACGAACTCAGATCCAGCAGCAGCGGAAGTCCTGCGAGCCTGCTAGAAGCCAGTTATGAGCAGCAGCAGCAGCTCGATCGGGCGAACTACAGCACGGGCCCCTTCAACAGCAGCAACAGCAGCAGCAGCAGCAGCAGCAGCAGCATGATCAGCTCTGGTGCACTGTCCACAGCAGGAGCGTTAGTACTCCCATTACCTACTGGTCCAAAGCATCAGTTGCAGCAGCAGCAGCAGCAACAGCAGCAGCAGCCGCAGGAGGAGCAGCATATGACGGGTTCCTTGCTGGTGCATGCCCGTTGCTGGGGAGTCTCTAAGCGTGTGCTGCAGCTGTCGGTACACCCCAAGTGTATCGCCAGCAGCAGCTGCCCATTAAGTATATACATTAAGGATATTTATGGTAATATTATAGAGATACCAGCAACAAACAGCAGCAGCAGCAGCAGCAGCAGCAGCGCAGGAGGAGCAGCAGCGACCGTGGACCTTTCCTCCCTTTGCTGCCTCCGCCAGGATCGAACTGCGCCTTTTGCTGCTTATATTGGGGTGCGCTGCAGCAGCAGCAACTGCAGCAGCAGCAGCAGCTGTAGCTGCATCTGCTGGACGGAGTCGCTACAGCAGGTTTTTATTAACAAAACTATACGTGTTTGCATCCCCTTGGTGTGCTGCAGCAGCAGCAGCAGCGACGGCAGCAGCAGCAGCAGGACAGAAGGAGAGGCAGCAGATCGTTATGCTGTTTTGCTGCTAAGCCTCAATCGGCGATCAATAGAAGGTTGCTGCTGCAGCGCAGCAGCACCGCAGCAGCTGCTGCTGCTGGTGTCTCCTCCCCTGTGTGTACGCAGTCAGCTGCCATTTGGGGTGTATGTACACCTTGCTGTTGCTGCAGCAGGAAGCAGCGGTGTCTTGCTGCTTGTTGATTCGCTGCAGCAGCAAGACGCTAAGGAGGCGCGCTGCTGCTGCTTCGAAGCAGCAACAGCTGCAACACTGCATGCGCTTGCTGCTGCTGCTGCTGGTGGAAGTAACACAGGCCTCCTGCCTCGGTCTCTCCTCGAGTCTCCGCTGCTGCCACCCCAACAACAGCAGCTGCTGCTGCAACTGCAGCAAGGGCAGCAGCAGCAGAAGCAGCAGCAGCAAGCACCACTTAGCCTGGAGGCTGTTCAAGGTGTGTCTCCTCCTTTGCTGCTTCGTGTAGCGGATGCCTCACAATGGCAGCAGCAGCAGCAGCAACTGCAGCAGCAGCAGCAAGTGCGGTGGACAGACAGCGTAGTTTTGCAGCTTCGTAGCGATGTGGGGTTTGGTGCGTTGCCTACTGAGAAGCAGCAGCAGCAGCAACAGCAGCAGCAGCAGCAGCAAAAGCAGTGGCGAGGTGGCGGTTCGGCGCCCGATGTGCAGCTGCCGCTGGCGAATTTCCGCATGCAGCAACAGCAACAGCAGCAACAACAGCAGCAGCACCAGTTGAGTGCAGCAGCAGCATGCAGTTTAGGCTTGCTGCCCCCTCTGCTGCTGCGGCTGCTGCATGTATCCTTTGGCTTGCATGCAAGTGGGAGCCTTTGCCTCTCGCTGTCTTTTGCTGCTGCTGCTCCTCTGCTGCTGCTAAACAGAACTCCTTTTACTCTTGCTGTTGCTCAAAGCAGCATCAGCAGCAGCAGCAGCAGCAGCGCAAGCAGCAGCAGCAGATTGCTGCGGCAGCGCGTTGCCCCCTTCTCTGCTGCGCACCTACCTGCTGGGCAGAAGCCCCCTGTTGCTGTTTTTGCTGCTGCAGCTGCTGCTGTTGAAGTAGAAGCAGCAGAAACAGAAGAACCAGCAGCAACAGCAGCAGATGCAGTATCTGCTGCTGCGAGCCGCATAAGGAGTGACGAAGCAACAGAGCAGCAGCAGCAGCAGCAGCAGATTGACATCCGCCCTTTCTACATCCAAAGCGATCCTCTTGTCATGCGAGCCCTTTCTCGGCATGCAGCCTGCAGCAGCAGCAGCAGCAGCAACCGCAGCAGGGCAGCACCGCAGAAACCTGGGGTGTATGTGCAGCTCTGTGCCCTTGATGACGGGGCAACACATGGTAAGGGATCAATGAGAAGCACGTTTAGGGTTTAGGGTTTAGGGTTTGGGGCTTAGGGTTTAGGATTTAGCAAGAATTTGTGCTGTTTGCTGCAGACATGGGAATGGATTTGCTGCACTTCAACAGCAGCAGCAGCAGCAGCAGCAGCAGCAGCAGTGTAAGAGGCCAGTGGTCGCAGCCGTTGCTGCTGCTGCAGCAAGGTGACGCAGTATCCCGTTTCTTAGTGCCTCGCATACCGATGCAGTTTGCTGCAGAGTATACAGCAGCAGCAGCTGCTGCTGCCGCTGCTACTGCTGATGGGGCAGGCAATGGCCCTGCTGCAGCAACTGCAGCACGGGGCACTCCATGGGCACTGCTATTTCCTTCGCGAACTGCTGCTGCTGCAGTTGCTACTGCAGCAGAACCCGTAGGTGGCTGCATAATTGCCCATATGCGCAGCAGCAGCAACAGCAGCAGCAGCAGCAGCAGCAATGGCCATCTGCTCACGGTGGATTTCGTTCCCTTTAGGGGTTCCCTTGCATGGGAGGCGATGGCAGCAGCAGCTGCTACTACGAGTGCTGCTGCTGCTGCCGCTGCTGCTGCTGCCTGTCCTGCAGCAGCAGCAGCAGCAGCAGCAGCAGAAGCAGCAGAGAGGCTCACGCGCTTCTGTGTCCCTTGCCCATTGAAACAGGTGGAAATGTTGCTGCAGCAGCGGCAGGCAGCAGCAGCAGCAGCAGTTGCTGCTGTTGCTGCTGCGCCTAAGGGCACTTCTTTAGATGCTCTGGTTGCAGCAGCAGCAGCAGCTGCTGCTGCTGCCACAGACGACGCAGCAGCAGGACCTATCCCATGCATCCTTGAACGGGGAGAAAGCACAACTAGCATCAGCAGCATCAGCAGCAGCAACAACAACAGCAGCAACAGCAGCAGCGGCAACAGCAGCAGCAGCAGCACCATCACGCGGTGGGTGCAGCAGTTCACCTTTGAGGTGTCTGTTGATGAAACCCTTGCTGCTCTCTCATCACCAGATACAGCAGCAGCAGCAGCAGCTGCTGCTGCCTCCACCAGCAGCAACAGCACAATGGGTTCTCTTGTTGCTGCTGCTGCCGCTGCGGCTGCTGCTGCTGCTGACACGGAGGTTACGGAGACAGTTGTTGCCCACTTTAGGCGCCTACGCTATGTGTTCCGCAGCAGCAGCAGCAGCAACAGCAGCAGCAGCAGCAGCAGTGTGCTGCAGCTGCTCGAAGACAGTCGAAAAGAGCATTCGCTTCTGTTTGATTCTGCTTCCCTCAGCAGCAGCAGCAACAGCAGCAGCAGCAGCAGCAGCAGCATGAAGCAATGGGTTTGTTTGCCGTCAATATGTTGTCTTGCTTCACTTGTAAGCAGCAAAGTAAAGGAGCCTGCTGCTGCTGCTGCTGCAGTTGCTGCCGAAGCGCAGCAGCAGCAACAGCAGCAGAAGCAGCTGCTGCTGCCGCCGCCATGGATGGGCAAAGAGGCAGCAATGTCTTCGGCTGTATATTTGCCTCTTCTTGCCCTTGAAGCAAGAGAGACACCTCAGCAGCAACAAGAGCAGCAGCAGCAAGAGCAGCAGCAACAGCAGAAGGGTTATGTTGTTAGCATCCGCGCTGACGAGAATCTGCTGCGGTGGGGAGTAAGTTTTGGTGCTGCTGTGTCTGCGCTGCGTCCTCTCTTCCTGCAGCAGCAGCAGCAGCAAGAGCAACCGCAGGAGCAGCACCAGGAGCAACGTCTGGCAGGAGGAGGAGCAGCAGGAGGAGATCCTGCTGCTGTGATTGCTGCTGCTGCTGCAGCATCTGCAGCAAATCGGCTGCATGCATGCAGCATAGATGAGGTGTATATCTCTCCTTTTAGGTTTATAATATCATTAGATCTAAAAGGTGCTGCTGCTCTTGCTGCAGTCTCCTGCTGCAGGGTCTCCTTCCCGCTGCTGCTGCTGCGGCAGCTGTATACGCCGCTGCAGCTGCTGCAGCGGGAGCTCCTAGCTCATTATACAGCGCTGCTGCTGCTGCAGACACCGCAGATTCTTGCTTCTGCTGCAGTACTAGGCAGCATAAGAGCTTCGCTGCAGCACATTGTTGCTGCAGCACGGGAGGTGTATGTACACCGCACAGCCAGGGGTGCTGCTGCTGCTGCTGCACATGCTGCTGCTGCTGCTCTCGTACCTGTAGGCTCTTTTGCTTCTTCTCTACGTCAGATATTGCCTACCTTCCCGTTGCGCGAGCTGCTGCAGCAGCAGCAGCAACAGCCACACCAGCAGCAGCAGCAGCACCAGATCGTAACAACAGCAGCAAAAGCACTTGTTGGTGCTGCTGCACTGCCGTTGCATGCAGTCCTAGCTGCTGTATCTACCTTCTCTGCTGCATGTACACCGCAACTTCAAGATGCTGTTGAAGCGCAGCAGCACCCCTTCGGCTGCTCTGCATGCGCTGCGCTGCTGCAGCACATGCAGCAGCAGCACATGCAACAGCAGCACCAACTGCTGCAACAAGCCGCAGGGGCGGCGAGGGAAATGATGCAGCCAGACCGCGTAGAAGCGCTGCTGCAGCAGCAGCTGCAAGGCCAGCTGCTGCGAACTTGCTGCAGCAGCAGCAGCAGTAACTGCTGCTGCACCAGCAGCGAGCCACGAGCCATGCTGCTGCAGAATTCCCTCAGCAGCAGCAACAGCAGAGGCAGCAACAGCAGCAGTGCGCGTCTCCCAGCAGCAATTGATGCATCTCTTGGGTACTGGGACAGCAGATGCTGGCTGCTGGTGTTGCAGCATAGCAGCAGCAGCATCTGCAGCAGTAGCAGCAGCAGCAATGGAGATGATGAGCAGCAACAGCAGCTAAACTGGCAACTCCATGCGGCAGCTGTTGGGATGACTGTGTCAGAGGTAAGACTTAAACACGGATTAGGGTTTAGGGTTTAGGGTTAGGGTTTAGGGTTAGGGTTTAGGAACAAAGGAAGAATTATGTGTGTCTGCTGCTGCAGCTGCTGCTGGCATACATCTTTCCCCCTGCAATATGTGGGGCTGTGCTTCCCGAGGATGGAACATTTGCTGCTGCTGCTGCTGCAGCAAGCGGATCCAAGCTAGGCAGCAGCAGCAACAGGGAGGTTGCGCTGCATCAGCAGCAGCAGCAGCAGCCGCTGGTGCTCAAGATGGAGAGATTCCCCCTGTGTGATGTTTCTCTTGCTGCTGCTGCTGCTGCTGCCTACTGCTTCAGCAGCAGCAGCAGTACAAGCAACAGACGCGTAATGATGCCTCCGCCTGAGGCCCAAGCTGCCGCAGCAGCAGCAGCAGCGCTGCAGCAGCAGCAACAGCAGCAGCATTTTGGCGGTTTCCCTTATTCTTTAATATCTCTCGAGGCTGAAGGTGTTTCTTCTCGTCTATGGGTGTTTACATCGTAAGCTAGGGTTTAGGGTTTAGGGTTTAGGGTTTGCTACAGAATAAGCAGCTCCTCAGCTCCTGCTCTTGCTGGATTCTTACTTGCAGTCGCCTAGGGTTTAGGGTTTAGGGTTTAGGGTTTGTGACGTTGGTGTGTTGTACAGCGACCCCGAGAGGCTTGAGGAGATGCTGTTGGTGTACAGGAGCTGCACCTCAAACCCTAAACCCTAAACCCTAGGGAGATAAACCCTGAATATGCTTCTACGTTGGGGTTTCCTCAACTATGCATTTAAAAATTAGGGTTTAGGGTTTAGGGTTTGAACGGTTTTGGCGTCAAACGGGGCTAGTAAGGAGCGGTTCTGTTTCTGACGGCACACAGCTATCTAATTGCTGTTGTTGTTGCTGCTGCTGCTGTTGCTGTTGCTGTTGCTGCAGCAGCTGCTGCTCTAGCTGCTCCAGCAACAACAGCTCACTGTGATCTGCTGCTGCCTCTGCAGCAATTTCCTCGGGCATTAGCCTGGGGTTAAAACCCCATTGCTGCTCGCGCTGCATTTGCTGCAGCTGCTGCACCTGTTGCTGCTGCTGTTCGGGGTGCTGGTGCTGCTGCAGCTTCTGCAGCTGCTGCAGCTTCTGCTTGTTAGCAGGGGTTGTTGCTGCAGCAGCAGCAACACAAAACGCCCGTCCTTCAGCCTCTAGCTGCTGCACATACACCTGGCGGGGGAAGCTTATGGAGTTAACTCTGCAGCAGCAACAGCAACAGCAGCAGCAGCAGCAAGTGTGAATAGCTGCCTACCTCTACAGTGTATAGGCAGCGTAATAAAAGCCTAACATTATTTGCAGTGTACATACACCTGAATGTCTTGGCATATGGTGACTTATTAGGGTTTGTTGTTTAGCGTCTAATTAGGGTTTAGTTAGGGTTTAGGGTTTAGGCTGTATTAGGGGAAGGGTTTAGGGTTTAGGGTTTATGGTGTATATTTACCCAAAGGGATTATTAATTCTTTGTGCTGCATCTAGTATACCATGATAGAAGGTAGGCAGCAGCAGCAGCAGCAGCAAATGTACACACAGGCCTTGTGCTGCTTCCCATACATGGGGTCTTAGTGCTTGTGGGGCAAGGAAGGCTCCTGCCCCTGCTCCTGCTGCTGCTGCAGCAGCAGCAGCAGCAGCAGCGGCAGCAGCTCCTGCAGCAGCTGCTGCAGCTTCCGTTGAAGCAGGATCGCGTGGTGGTATCGGGAGGTTCTCTGGCCCTGAGCCTGCCGCTGCTGCGGCTGCTGCTGCGGCTGCTGCAGCAGCAGCAGCTGCTGCTGCATCAGGATCAGGACTGCTGCTGCTGCTGCTGCTGCCTAATGCTACTTGCTGCAACTTACATACTATTGTTGCTGCTTCTAGTCCTGCTGCAACAGCAGAGAAAGTATTTGTTAATACAACAAGCAGCAGCAGCAAATGCATGTATGAATAAGGAATTGGGGTTTGTACATACGCTAAACATTGAGAAACACCTGCAGAACCCTGCAGCAGCAGCAGCAGCAGCAACAGCAGCAGAAGCAAACAGCAGCAGCAGCAGCAGCATAGATGTAAAATAGTATGCGACTCATTATTATTAGGGTTTAGCATTATTAGGGTTTAAAATTATTAGGGTTTAGCATTAGGGTTTAACCATACACTACGAGTGTTTTCACTCCAATGAGGGTTTAGGGTTTAGGGTTTAGGGTTTGCGTACTCTTGAGCATATTTCCATCCACCTTCGTGTTGCATTAGGTGCAAATAAAAGAAGACCTTTTCTTGCTAAATTACTTCCTGTTGCAGCAAGAAGACTCCAAGGAACAAGAGGTCTTCCTTGTGCAACAGAGCGTAGACAAACCCTTTCTGACGATGATAGTAAACCCTCATCTGTAAGAAAAAAAAAATACACGTAAACCCTAATTAGGTAAACCCTAAACCCTAGACATACTATACTACCTAAAGAAATATTAAACAAACACTAATTTAGGGTTTACACTCTTTTTAGGGTTTGATGATGCATTTTAAGGGTTTATCAACATATTTTACGATTTAACCATTTTTTAGGGTTTAGGGTTTAGGGTTTAGGGTTTACTGAGTAAATAATTAAGATCTTGATTTCCTTGTGCTGCATCAAACACTAAATGAAAACTTAGACAACCTAATCTTAATACTCTTCTTATTATTCGTTGTCTGCTGCTCATCCAATAAGGTTCTTCTTCTTCCTCTTCTCCTGCTGCTGCTGCTGCTGCTGCTGAATCGGGTTCTGCATCTGCTGCTGATTCTGACGCTGCTTTTGGTGCTGCTGCTGCTGCACCCGCAGGCATCGCTGCAGCAGCAGCAGGAGTTTCTGCTGTTTCTGCTGCTGCTGCTGCGTTGCTGTTAGGAGCATCCTCCAGCTGCAGCAGCTGCTGCTTCTGCTGCTTCTGCTGCTTCTGCTGCTGCTGCTGCTGCTGCTGCTGCGGCAGCTCTAGGTGGCAGCAAGTAAGTATAAGTATATCATATACAGCAGCACAAATAGCAGCTAAATGTTGTCTTAATGCCCACCATCTAGATAAGGAAGTAGATACAAATAACCCTAATAAAAAAGATACTAAGGGAGATAAACCCCCAATTAGGGTTTGTAAACCCCCAAAACGTAATGCAGATGCTGCCTGCAAACACAATCATATACATAAACCCTAGACCCTAAACCCTAAACCCTAGACACAGAAAAATGCACAAAGAAACACACCCTCAAACCCTAGATAAACCCTACATAAACCCTAGATAAACCCTAAACCCTAAAATACTCGCTACGGAGAAATCGTGAACACCCCCTGCACACGCCAATCGATGCACAATCAATGTTATAAATTTAGGGTTTAGGGTTTAGGGTTTAGGGTTTACGGGTTCAAAGATAATAACAAAAAGGGCAGTAGCTGCAGCAATAATCCAATAGAAGGAAACAGTCTTCCATAGACGACGAGACATAAATAAACTTCCTTTTAATTCTGCTATAGACCCTAAACCCTTAACCTGGGGTTTAAAAGGGTTTGAAGGGTTTAGACCACAAACCCTAAACCCTAAACCCTCATCCCTTGTATGCGAACCCTCAGGGCGAAAATCGCCCCCCGGGGACGCCCCTAACATGGAAGTATAACCCATACAAACCCAAAACCCTAAACCCTAAACCCTAAACCCTAAACACTAAACCCTAATATCGAAACGCTAAACCCTCGCCACGGCGGCAGGATCAACCCGCCCCGTACGAGACGCCACAACCAAACCCTAAACCCTCAAAAGAATGCCGGATCTTCCACAAGCCTAGGGAGAAAACCCTAAACCCTAAACCCTAAACCCTAAACCCTAGGATGCCCACGCCGGGGTGCCAGGTCTCTGTGTGTCTGGCCTCAAACCCTCCTTAAACCCTTCAGACTACAAACACTAATCCATAATAAATAATATATAATAATTAAACCCTTACGCACAAACCCTAAACCCTAGAAGACAACACTGTGGGGCTCTAAGGATAACGGGGCTTGGTTGCTCGGCGGCAGACTTATCTCGAGGGTTTAGGGTTTGCAGTATCGGATTTAGGGTTTAGGGTTTAGGGTTTGTGGTCTATTGAACATAAATTATAAACTATAATTTAGGGTCTAGGGTTTGCATATGAAACGGTAATGCTCGCCGCTTCCATAGGGTTTATTGACAATTAGGGTTTAGGGTTTAGGGTTTGTAGCTCATGGGCCCTTAGGGACAGTGTTTCTTCAAGATGCAATAGAAACCTATACCCAAACCCTAAACCCTAGACCATAATTTTCCTAAACCCTAAACACTAATTATGCTAAAGCCTAAACCCTAATTATCCTAAACCCTAGACCTGAAACCCTCTTACCGGCGCGTCTCGCCTAGATCCTTCCGGATGGAGCCCAAAACCCTAAACCCTAAACCCTAATCTTCTAGAGGGCTAAAGTAGCCATTCAACCCCTAAACACTAGTAGCAAGATCTAAACCCTAAACCCCAGTAAGACACGTCTGGAACCCTAAACCCTCAAGCGTAACCTTGAAAACCCTAAACCCTCGAGGCACCCAGGAAACCCTAAACCCTTGCAGAGCAGCTAAAACCCTAGATCCTCGAAACCCCTCAAAACCCTAAACCCTCAAGATACACCTACACCCTCTAGATAAACCAGGAAACCCAAACCCTAAACCCTCAAGACCAACCTGTTGACCTAAACCCTAAACTCCAACAGATACAGATGGAGAACTAAACCCTAAACCCTCAAGATCAACCAGGAAACCTAAACCCTAAACCCTCTAGATACAACTAAAGACCTAAACCCTAAACCCTCATTATAAACCTGTAACCCTAACCCCAAGCTAGGCAATCAAAACCCTAAACCCTCGCGAGACAATCAAAACCCTAAACCCTCAAGAGACCGTCAAAACCCTAAACCCTCAAGAGCCAAATAGTTTAAATCCCCATAAAGAAGAGGGAGGATTGCCGCCATTAATTATGGCGGTAATTGGGGTGTACGCACACCTCAACAAATCAATCAATCACCCTAAACCCTAAACCCTAAACCCTAAACCCTAATAAACCCTAATAATCCCTCTGTTGGTGTTATGTACAACAGAGGATAAATATATGCGTGAGCTTTTATCTATCTCCTCCGTCCCTGTCTCCTCTGTCTCCTCTGTCCCTGTCTCCTCTGTCTCCTCTCTCTCCTCTGTCTCCTCTGTCTCTATATCTGTCTCCTCTGTCTCCTCTGTCTCCTCTTTCTCTGTCTCTTTCTCTTTCTCTGTATCTGTCTCCTTCTCTTTCTCCTTTGTCTCCTTTATCTCCATTCCTTTCTCCCCTCTCTCCTCTGTCTCCTCTGTCTCCTCCTCCTCTGTCTCCTCTTTCTCTGTCTCCTCCTCCTCTATCTCCTCTTTCTCTGTCTCCTCCTCTATCTGTATATATATATCCTTGTCTTTCCTTATATTTATTTTCTCTTTCTTCTCTTTCTTTTGTTGTTTTTTCTTCTTTTTTTTTGTCCCTATATATTTCTCCATTTCTTTCTCCTCTTTCTTCTCTATACCTCTCTCCTCCTCTCTCTCCTCCTCTCTCTCCTCCTCTGTCTCCTCCTCTGTCTCCTCCCCTGTCTCCTCCTCTGTCTCCCCCCCTGTCTCCTCCTCTGTCTCCTCCCCTGTCTCCTCCTCTATCTCCTCTTTCTCTGTCTCCTCCTCTATCCCTTTCTCTGTCCCCTCTGTCTCCTCTTTCTCTGTCTCTTTCCCCTTCTCTATATCTCTCTCCTCCTCTGTCTCCTCCTCTGTCTCCTCCCCTATCTCCTCCTCTGTCTCCTCCCCTCTCTCCTCCCCTCTCTCCTCCTCTGTCTCCTCCTCTGTCTCCTCCTCTGTCTCTGTCCCTTCTGTCTCCTTCTCTTCTGTCTCTGTCTCCCCTATCAATATATCTGTCTCCTCCTCTGTCTACTCCCCTCTCTCCTCCTCTGTCTCCTCCCCTCTCTCCTCCCCTGTCTCCTCCCCTGTCTCCTCCCCTGTCTCCTCCTCTGTCTCCTTCTTTATATCTGTCTCCTCTTCTGTCTCCTTCCCTATATCTGTCTCCTTCTTTATATCTGTCTCCTCTTCTGTCTCCTTCCCTATATCTGTCTCCTTCCCTATACCTCTCTCCTCTGTCTCCTCTGTCTCCTCTGTCTCCTCTGTCTCCTCTGTCTCCTCTCTCTCCTCTGTCTCCTCTGTCTCCTCTGTATCTGTCTCCTCTGTCTCCTCTGTCTCCTCTATATCTGTCTCCTTCTCTGTCTCCTCTGTGTCCTCTACTATGCTGCAGCAACTCATGCTGCTGCTGCTGATGCTGCTGCTGCAGTTGCTGCTGCTGCTGCTGCTCTGTCTTAATTCTTTGTAAATACATTTCTTCTTTCTCCTTTCCCCTCAATTTTGTTGCCTTTTGCTTCTTCTTCTTCTTCTTGCTGCTGCTGCTGCTGCTGCTGCTGCTGCTGCTGCTGTCACTGTCACTGTCACTGCTGCTGCTATCGCTGCTGCTGCTGCTGTCACTACTACTACTACTGCTGCTGCTGCTGCTGCTGCTGCTATCTTTAGGACGTCGCCTCTTACGGCTGGACGTCTCTGGCTCCTGCTTTACTGGAGGACCCTGCTGCTGCTGCTGCTGCTGCAGTTGCTGCTGCTGCTGCTTCTGCAGCAGTTGCTGCTCCCGCAGCACCTCGGGGTCTATAGGCTCTGACTTAACTGCCATCAGCAGCTGCTGCTCTGCTGCTTCTGCTGCTGTTGATGCTGCTGCTGCTGCTGCTGCGTCTGTTGCTGCTGCTGCTGCAGGAGAAGGCTCGCGCTTCTTTACTTTAGCTAAGGCTGAGCGAGCAGATCGTCTGCCGCTCCTGCTGCTGTTGCTGCTGCTGCTACTGCTGCTGCTGCTACTGCTGCTGCTGCTTGTACTGCTATCACTATCACTGCTGCTGCTATCACTGTCGCTGCTGCTGCTACTATCACTGCTGCTGCTACTGCTGCTGCTGCTGCTGCTACTGCTGCTGCTGCTGCTGCTGTCCTTTGCCTCCTTTTTTGCTGCCTTAAGTATCTCTGCTTGTTCTTCCTTTAGCCTTTGTACAAGGCGACGATCTCGATACAAATCTCCATCCGTTATTCTGCACATAAACCCCAAATTAGGGTTTAGGGTTTAGGGTTTAGGGTTTGGAGTAATAAGGAAAAGCAGGGAAACACTCTATTATAGGCTTCCTATAACTCTGAAAATTGTAAACCCTAAACCCTAAACCCTAAACCCTCAGTACTTACAAAGGTATCTCAGGAGCATCGTCAGCAAATATCTGCTTGGGGTTCAGCCGAGGGTTTCTGAGCATAACATACAAACCCTAAACCCTAAACCCTAAACCCTTATATCCTGCATATACACATTACTCGCTCCCTAGAATAGATATTTTAGGGTTTAGTGTTTAGGGTTTAGGGTTTACTTGAGGATCTGCGTCCGCGTGGGCCGCTGTAGATACACCCGCCGATTGCGGCATTGATATGTCCAGCTGTACAAAACCCTCACACAACAAGTTGCAAACCCTAAACCCTAAACCCTAAACCCTAGACAAGCTGGCTGTCTCTACGTGGTGTCCGGTTCTATGCTGTACCCTTAAGGGTTTAGGGTTTAGGGTTCTTACTGTCCGAATTGCAAGCATTTTTGGCACTCCGCCTTGGCCGCATCCTGCGCATTTGCACAAACCCTAAACCCTAAACCCTAAACCCTTGAACCTGGCAAGATGTCTATCTTGTGGCACGGAAGTGACTAGGGTTTAGGGTTTAGGGTTTAGGGAGTAAGAATACCTTGTTAGTAGGTTTGAAGATGTTGAGCTCCATCTCAACAACAAACCCTAAGACCTCAAGGGAGGTCTTAGCACAGATTTAAGGGTTTAGGGTTTAGGGTTTGGGGTTTCAATTTCAATGGAAACCAGGCTTAGGGTTTAGGGTTTATGGCTTGGGAACCCTAGATACCTCCTACAGCCCCCACACCTTACCCAACACCCAGACTAGTAACAATAATATAAAAAAAAGAATAACTCGGGTTTCCGGTTTAGGGTTTAGGGTTTAGGGTTTTGTTTGGGTTTCTGCTCAGGGCTGAAGTGCTCCGAACTGCAGCCCCGCATGCAACCGGGCGACAACGGACAGCCGCGCTAAACCCTAAACCCTAAACATTAAACCCTAATTTCCAGCAGAAATTTCTCTATAAGTTGTAGACTAAGCCTAAACCCAGAACCCTAAACCCTAGATCCAGACAAGCTGCCCCTGCGTCCTCTCAACTCGGCCGGAGAGGGAAGGCTGGTTGTACCCTCCTCCGCCAAGGGTTTAGGGTTTACGGTTTAGGGTTTAGCAATTAGGGTTTATGAATTAGGGTTTAGAATTGAAGAGTTTAAGGGTAGGTTGTATATTGGGGTTTGTTTGCTGCTGCGCCCTTCTATTTCGTGCTGCACGCATGGCTGTGTTGATATGGTTTAGCGTATAGGGTTTAGGGTTTAGGGTTTAGAGAGGGTCTAGAGCTGGCGTAGAAAGGGTTTGTGGTCTATAATTCCCACAGTAAGTCGCCTTTTAGGGTTTAGGGTTTAGGGTATACACTACAGCTCACACACACAGTATTCCTCGTGGATCGAAACCCGGCTTATCTACACAAGCGCCCCTCTTTTCCAGCTAATTAGGGTTTAGGGTTTAGGGTTTACGGCTGAAGCGCAACAGTAAAAAACCCCGTGCAGTTGGCAGCCTTAGTTTGGAAGAAATCTTTAGCACTACAACCCCAAACCCTAAACCCTAAACTTCATACAGCCGACTAGCTGAGTAGGTAGCCATACTCCTGTAGATTTTGTCGGTTTGCGAGTCATGTAGAGCATAAACACTAAACCCTAAACCCTAATTTTGTTTTAGGAGGAAGAGGAATATCTGTTTGTTTTGTTTCTTCTTATTGCGTCTGCGGTCCCTTTCTAAACACTAAACCCTAAACCCTCCGCCTGCAACTAAAGGTAGGGGGTAAGGAAGGCAGCGAAACCCTAAACCCTAGGCCTAAACCCTGGGGTGATTCAAGCTGACAGAAAGCGGCTCAGCTTCCAAACCCTCAACTCCTTCACAAACCCTAAACCCTAGACCCTAATCCTGAGGCTTCATGAAGGGGGAAGCACAGCGTAGGCTATAGGGCTAAATCCTAAACCCTAAGTTGTTCACAGGGGCATGAACCGATGCAACAGGAATAATCCCTGTAAACCCTAAACCCTAACACGGACAAACTGGGAACCCTAGACTACAGAAAATAAAGAAGACAAACCCTAAACCCTAAACAGTGAATGGGACAAACCCTCATACATAGACCAACAAGTTGCTGAAAAACCTGAGCAAACCCTAAATCCTAATTCCTATGCAGCAGCAATTAGAAGGCGAACACGCCAAGTACTATACCCTAGAATTAAAATAGCCAAACCCTAAACCCTAAAAGTCGCAGGTAGCGAGCACGCCTAAACCCTACACCCCACACCTTAAACCCTAGGCACAAAGACACCAGGCCCTAAACCCTATAAAAGAAGAAGACACCCAAACCCTAAAGTTAGAGAAGACAAGCCCTAAACCCTAGATAAACAAACCCCCGGAAGTCAAACCCGAAGGGGCCCTCAGCCCTAAACCCTAAGCATTAAACCCTAAACCCTAAACCCTAGGACCAAGTATTGAGGGAAGCTTTAAATATCAGTGTTTAACGAATCCATAATATTGTTTAGTAACATACATTTCTAGGTAACGCCAATCCCTAAACCCTAAACCCTAAACCCTTGCTGTGGGCAGCTAAGCTGTCGGCGGTGCGCTGGAAGTGGTACGCGGTTCGGCTGCGGTCCCCAAACCCTAAACAGTAAACCCTAAACCCTAAACAATAAATTCTTAATGATAAACCCTTATTTATCCATTACAAACCCTAAACCCTCGTTGTATCGGCTTGCTGCAGTTTGCCACGGATTCCTGGGTTGTCTCGGCAGGGGATCCGTACACTACAACCCAGTAAGGGTTTAGGGTTTAGGGTTTAGGGTTAGCGTTTTAGATATACACACTTTGAGGCGTTTAGGCGTTGGTTACTGCAAGGGTTCTGTGTTTTGACGCCAAGTATGCTTGTGTGGTATTCAGGGTTAACGGTTTAGAGGTTAGGGTTTAGGGTTTAGGGTTTAGGGTTTTAGGGTTTGGGGTTGGTGTTTTGTGCAGATGGTGCGGCTGTGGTTCTTGGCCGTCCCAGCTTGCCTATGCGGCGGTCTAACGGGAGGTAACTCGTAATCCCTAAACCCTAAACCCGAATCGAAGCCCTAGTCCCTCGGGTTGTCTGGTGCAGGCTGTACCAAGCGTCGGGATTTCGGGTTTAGGGTTTAGGGTTTAGGGTTTGTGTGTGTGTATGAAGCGGCTGGCTTTCGTTTCCAGCCTCCCCAAGGCCTTCTCCCCTCCCCAGACGGTGTGCAGCAGCAGCAGCAGCAGCCGCTGCAGCAGTTGCAGCAGGGGCAGCGGCACGTATCTCCCAGCGCACTGAGTGTGCATGGAGCAGCAGCAACAACAAAAACAGCAGCAGCAGCAGCAGCAGCAGCAGGAGCAGCAGCAGCAAATGATGAGCTACCCGCAAGCATATTAGATGTTCCTCCTAGTTTCTTTAAAGGGAAGAAAGTGTTAGTGCGTGGGGACCTCAATGTAGCTGTAATAGAAAACACCAGCAGCAGCAGCAGCAGCAGCAGCAGCAGCAGCAGCGAGGATTTTTATAAGATAACAGATGACACACGCATGCGGGCATTAGAGCCAACATTAAGATATCTATTAGATGCAGGAGCAAGTGTGCTGCTGCTGTCGCACTTTAAGGACCCTAAGCTGCCGCAGCAGCAGCAGCAGCAGCAGCAGCAGCAGGAGCTGCAGCGTTACTCTCTTAAATTCCTGCAGCAGCCGCTGCAGCAAATGCTGCGGGTACCTGTTCATTTTGCTCCTAGCTGTATAGGAAAAGAAACAGAAGAAATGGTGGCTAATCTTAAGGAAGGAGAAGTACTTCTTCTTGAAAATGGTGAGGGTTTAGGGTTTAGGGTTTAGGGTTTAGGGTTTGGTGTTTTTTCATAGTTTTGCATTATATATGGCCTTCCTTTAGTGTGTTACTAACTCTCTCTCTCTCTTTCTCTGCATTTCCTGTTGCACAGTATTAGGGTTTGCTGTGCTCCTAGGGTTTAGGGTTTAGGGTTTAGGGTTTGTGTATTCAGTACGATTACATCCTGGGGAGAAAACGAATGACGCTGCCCTTGGCGAGGGTTTAGCATCATTAGCTAGGGTTTACGTTAATGATGCCTTTGGGGCTATTCATCGCATGCATGCATCCATGGAGGCAACACCTAAGGCAGCAAAACAACAAAATAAATTCGCTCTTGCTGGTCTTCTTCTTCTTAAGGAACTTCAAGCTATACACGTCAGCTCACTCCCGAGGGTTTAGGGTTTACGAGGGTTTACGGGGTTTCTTACGGAGCTGGACGGATGTGGGGCACGGGGGAAGGATGTTTTGAAGGGTTTAGGGTTTGTAGGGTTTAGGGTTTGTAGGGTTTAGGGTTTAGGGTTTGTGTTTTAGGGTATTCAGGTTTCCGATGTTCATGTCGATTTTAGGGTTTATTCTCTCCCGTTCCAATTTTAGGGTTTATGGTTTATTACTTCAATTTTAGGGTTTAGGGTTTAGGGTTTAGGGTTTAGGGTTTGTGTGCAGTCGGCGGTTTCCTCTCCTGCTCGTCCGGTCTGTTGGGTAGTTGGCGGCTCGAAGGTTTCCTCTAAGGCAGGACTATTAAGAAGATTAATTTATTTATCTAAAAAAGAAGATAGAGTATTAATTGGTGGCTGTATGGCATTAACTTTCTTAAAGGCAAGAGGTGCACAGCTTGGTGCCTCTATTGTTGAGGATTCACAACTAGATACTTGCAAGGTAGGGTTTAGGGTTTAGGGTTTTGTAGGAGGTTAAGAGGTAGCGAGGTCTTACGGGCGTACTGCAGGGTTTAGGGTTTGAGACAGTCGAGGGTTTAGGGTTTAGGGTTTGGGACAGTCGAGTGTTTAGGGTTTAGGGTTTTTTAGTGCGCGTTTGTTCGTTGTGCCAGTTGTATAAATACCTAGGGTTTAGGGTTTAGGGTTTAGGGTTTGTTTATGTATGCGTGTTGTATGTGTAGGAAATAGAGGGTTTAGCATCTGCTCGTGGTGTTCGTTTGTTGTTACCAGTAGATTTCTTATTAGGGGAAGAAGTAAGCCCTAATGCTGCATGCGTTGCTGCAGCAGCAGCAGCAGATAATATTCCTTCGCATCTTTATGCATTAGATCATGGGCAACAAACCAATAAATTATACAAAGAAGAAATCTTAAAATGCAAAACTATTGTCTGGTCAGTCCTAAACCCTAAACCCTAAACCCTAAACCCTAAGGACACCCTAAGCCCTAAATACCAAAAACCCTAAATCCTTCAGAACCATTCTACTAAACCCTAAACCCCAAACTCGATACACGAAACCCTAAACGACGCCACCTAATAGCTGCTGCTGCTGTTGCTGCTGCTGCTGCTGCTGCTGTGCTGCAGGAACGGTCCAATGGGTTATGCAGAGAATCCTGCATTTAGGGAGGGTACAGCATCTGTAGCATTAGCAGCAGCAGCAGCAACAGCAGCAGGAGCAACAAGTATAGTAGGTGGTGGTGATTCTCTTGCTGCAGTTAAGTTGCTGCAGCAGCAAAACCCTAATTTATTACTAACACATTTATCTACAGGAGGGGGAGCAACCCTTAAATTATTAGAGGGGGCCCCTATGCCTTCCTTGGGGGCCCTAACTACGCAGCAGGAGTTGCTGCAGCACCAGCTAGCTGGGACCTTAAATAACTAGCTAGCTAGCTAGCTAACTAGCTAACTAGCTAGCTAGCTAGCAAGGCGGCTATGTGGCTAGCTAGGTAGGTAGGGAAGGAGGGAGCTGCAGCAGCAGCTCTTGTGGATAGCTAGCTAGTAGCTAGCTAGGTACACTAACTGCTAGCTAGCTAGCTAGCTAGCTAGCTCTTCATCATTCCGCTTGCTCGGCAGGGTGGTCGCAACCATCTTGCAGCTTGCTGCTGCTGCTGCAGCAGCAACAGCAGCAGCAACAGCAGCAGCACCAGCAGCAGTCGATGGCAGGCAGCCGCTGCAGGCAGCAGCAGCAGCAGCAGCAGCAGCTTCTGTGGAAGTGTCTAATGCTGCTGCTGCAGATTCAGCGTGCTAAACCCTAAACCCTAATCCCTAGCAAGGGACGGTTTAGGGTTTATGCTTGCTGCTAGCATGTAGCTCCCTGTACATTTCGCGTTGCTGCTGCTGCTGCTGCTGCTGCTGCTGCTGCTGCTGCTGTAATATATGCATAGAAATCATTTTTAAATTAAACATTTTATATTTATAAATAAAATAAATAAAATAAATAAATAAAATAAATAAAATAAATAAATAAAATAAATAAAAAATAAATAAATAAATAATAATTAAATAAAGAAAAACAATAAAAAGAAGTGGATATAATTCGTTTTGGTTGTTTTAGGGTTTAGGGTTTAGGGTTTAGGGTTTGTGCTTCTGCGTAAGCCTTAAATCTCCTCATAGCAGCAGCAGCAAAAGCCTCAAGATGGAAGATTGGTTTGCTGCCTCTTTGCATGCCAGCAGCAGCAGCAGCAGCATCAGCAGCAACCTGCAGCAGCAGCAGCCTTTTGTTGCGCTGCTGTACGTATTTTGCTGCTGCAGCAGCTCTATTACCACTCATCCAGCTCCCGCTGCTCCCGCTACTGCTGCTGCTGCTGCTGCTGCTGCTGCTGCTGCAGCAAAGAGCAGCAGAGGTATCTCTAGGTACCTCCCCTGGCTTCAAGAAGAATAAACTCTTAATTATACGCAGCAGCAGCAAATCAGGAGGAATAAGTGCAGCTAATAAATCATAAAATAAACCTCTTAATTCTTGCAGTGTACGTACACTCGGGTGTCTAGCCATCTTTGCTGCTGCTTCGTCTGCTGCTGCTTCCCAGGCAGCAGGGAATGGGCAATTAGGGTTACCATACTGCAGCAGCTGACGCATTGCTGCTGTTGTTGCTGCTGCTGCTGCTGCTGTGCCTCCTCCTCCTCCTGCTCCTGCTGCTGCAGCAAAATTAGATGTTAATATACACTGCAAGGATAATAAAGAACGACGCATGTTCCTGCTGCTGTATAAACATACTTGCTGCAGCATAGCATCAGGTATCAGTTCCTCCTGCAGCAGCAGCAGCAACAACAACAACAGCAGCAGCAGCAGCAACGGCAGCAGCAGATGAAAGCTATACGTTACTTGGGGTATTTGTTTAAGCATTGCTAGTTCAAATCCGGAGATAGGAAACGAGGGTTTAGGGTTTAGGGTTTAAAAAGTCTATATTAGGGTTTAGGGTTTAGGAATTAGGGTTTAGGGTTTAGGGTTTACAGGTGTTTCTTCTTTTAGTGCAGTCTTTTTAAGGACTTTTATTACTTCACCAGTTGGAGGCAAAGGAACACGAATACCCAAACACCTGCATGCATACATAATACATACACATAAATTTGCTGCTGCTGCTGCTGCTGCTGTTGCTGCTGCTGTTGTTGTTTCTGTTGGTGACGATAGTTCTACATATGGTACTTTTACTGCTGCTCGTGCTGCTGCTGTTCCAATTGCAGCTCCTGCTGCTGCTACTCATGCTGCTGCCCATGCTGCTGCACTTGCTGCTGCTGCTGCTGCTGCTGCTGCTGCTGCTGCAGTTATATATACCTAGATTTAAGTGGTGGTGTAATAGCAGTAGGGTTTGCTGCTAATAATATAAATTGTAAACAACCAACAGAAGACTCCAAAGAACGACGAAGAGAATGTTGGGCACCTTCGCTTAATATATCCGCATCTTGAAGGACTACCACTGTATACATAAACCCTAAACCCTAAACCCTAAACCCTAAACCCTAAACCCTAAACCCTAAACCCTAGAAAAATCATAAATTATAGAACATAATAGCACAGGAGAGGTAATACTAGGAAGAGAGTGTTAAGCACCTTTGCTTAATATATCCGCTTCTAGGACTACTACCACTGCATGCATAAACCCTAAACCCTAAACCCTAAACCCTGGAAAACCCTAAACCCTAGAAAAATCCTAAATTATAGAACATAAAAGTATAGACTAGCATGAGAATGTTGAGCACCTTCGCTTAGTACATACTACCAATGAATACATAAACCCTAAACCCTAAACCCTAAACCCTCGAATATATATTACCTTTATATCTTTTTTGTCTTTTTTTAGTAAAAAAGAAAGAAGAAGCAATTGATGCTTGTGGTGCTGCCTCTACAAGATCTTTTATTACCCCTTGTACTATTGCCTTATCTCGTGTACCGAACTCAGCACACGATACTGCATACAAACCCTAAACCCTAAACCCTAAACCCTAAACCCTAGGGAAGCAGAGAGAGAGGTAGAGGGGAAAACACTCTAAAGAATAACACATAATCCTATGAAATGGGAAATCCTCAGCCAGAATTACAACCCTAAACCCTAAACCCTCCTAAACCCTAAACCCTCCTAAACCCTAAACACTAAACCCTTAAGACTCACTAATAGTGTGGTCATTTGATTGGCATAATGTCGCCTCTGCGTTTGTTTCTTTCTCAACAAAAGTCTCAACACGAACCTGCAAAAATACCCCCAAACCCTAAACCCTAAACCCTAAACCCTAGAATAAGGGTTTGGCACACCGAGGGTGGCGGTCGTGAAACGCTTCATAGATATGAAGGTGCCCACCCCCCCCAAAACCCCCGAAACCTAAACCCTAAACCCTAAACCCTAGGAATTACCTTGTCTATTTCCTCTCCAAATACTTCTCTTAAATACGCTAAAACCCTCGTCTTCTTTCCTGCCCCGCTTGGTCCATACAACAACAAATGGGGGGGATTATCGCTAGCCGCTAGCTGCGGTGTACACACACCCAACAACAAACCCTAAACCCTAAACCCTAAACCCTTGACACTGTCGGAGATGGCTGTGCAAGTAGAAGATGAGGGCTACTATTGAGGGCAAGTATAGGGGGAGGTAGAGAAATCGGGGGTTAAGGGTTTAGGGTTTAGGGTTTGACGGACGCTGCGGAAGAGAGGGGTAAGATGGGGATGACAGTCCAAGTCGTCAAGACGACGAGGAGCGTGTTTATCCACCCACAACATATTGCTGTAAACCCTAAACCCTAAACCCTAAACCCTAGATACGAAACCCTAAACCCTAGGCCGCAAACCCTAGGCCCGTGGGGTGGCAATCCAAGACCGTTGCTGTCTTGGTACCTCCAACAGCCACAATGAAAAGCTATGGAAGTCTTATTGAGCTGCTGCTGCTGCTGCTGCTGCTGCTGCTGTTGCTGCTGCTGCTGCTGCTTCTTCTGGCTACGGCTGCTGCCCGGCAAGTCGAGACCGAAGCCCAGCAGCAGCAGGAAGAGGGAGTTTTGCTGCAGCAGAAGATAACACTAAGGTGTTTTTATTTTGCTGCAATTAACTTAATGTGTTGCTGCTGTTGTTGTTGCTGCTGCTGTTGCTGAAGCAGTTGTTGTTGCTGCTGCTGCGGCTGCATGCAGCACAAAGGTGTTGCGGTTGGTGGGTCTTGGCAAAGCCCGTAACCATAAACAGTAAACCCTAAACCCTAAACCCTTAACCATGTGCAGATAGGTTAAAAACACTCAATCTGCCTTTATAATTAAACTCCACGTATGCAGCAGTAAACCCTAAACCCTAAACCCTCGTCTCTGCCAGGTTTCCCCCAAAGGGGCGTCTTGTCTTCCTCCCGCCTTGACTTTACTGGCGGGCAGCAAAACCCTAAACCCTAAACCCTAAACCATCTTAGGTGTGTATCTGTGGATACAGAGTTGTAACACTCCTGTGCAGAGTGTATTACAGTAAACCCTAAACCCTAAACCCTAAACCCTAATTCCACCAAAGCAATGGAGAGCAAAGTCAAGTTCGCGGAGGACCCCCGGCCTCCTAAGCTGCAACGTACAGAGGATGCAGCAGCAGATGCAGCAACAGCAGCAGCAGCATCAGAAGCTGAACCGCAGGCAGCAGCAGCAGCAACAGCAACAAAGACGGAAGACAGCAGCAGCAGCAATGTAGAGGATAAAGAAGCCTCCTCCTCTCCCACCAACGCCTCTACTCTTTCGCCATCAAGCACCAACAGCAGCAGCAGCAACAGCAACAGCAACAGCAGCAGCAGCAGCAGCAGCAAGAAGGAGCTAGAAGCAGCATGGGAGGAAACAGAGTATAATAATTGGCGAGTTAATTCACAAGTTTTATACGACGTATTATTGAATGTTCCTCTTGATTGGCCTTCTCTTACTGTACAATGGTTACCAGGAATTACACCGTAAACCCTAAACCCTAAACCCTAAACCCTAGACTAAACACTAAATATATGTAAACTCTAGAGTGTAAACCCGTGGGCGTAAACCCTAGAGAGAGAAACGCACGGAAAGTCTACAGACGTCCGCACGAAACCCTAGCAGACAACAGCATGCATGCGACTAGGGTTTAGGGTTTAGGGTTTAGGGTTTAGGGTTTGGGTGGTGACGTGCAGATGCTCCACATCATCAGTTGTAAAACAACGGCTGCTTCTTGGCACACACACCAGCGGCGAGGAGCCTGATGCCTTGATTGTTATGCAAGTAAGCTAGGGTTTAGGGTTTAGGGTTTAGGGTTTGGCGGGTATTAGGCAGGTTAGAGAACAGGTTTAGATATACTAGCCAATGCATATAGTTAATAATCTAGGGTTTAGGTTTTACGGCTTAGGGATTGGGAAATTTAGTGTTTAGGGTTTAGGGTTTAGGGTTTGTGTTAGGTGGAGCTGCCAGTGGGCCCGTTCGATGACCAGCAGACAAACGAATACAAAGAGAGAGGCGGTAAGACTACAAACCCTCAACCTCCGATTAGCAGGGTTTAGGGTTTAGGGTTTAGTGTTTAGGGTTTAGGGTTTAGGGTTTAGGGTTTGGGTGTCGTGGTGCAGACTATGAGGGTTTCCACTATGGGCTCTCTTCTTACAAACTTAAAGTCGTTAAGAGGTTGCCGCATCCGCGGGAGTCTAACTGGTGACTAGCCAAACCCTAAACCCTAAACCCTAAACCCTTAACTGTAGGCAGACTTGTTAAGTGCGCTGGTTCCTGTAGCGTGCCTGCAACCCGTAATATTTAGGGTTTAGGGTTCAGGGTTAAGGGTTTGTGGTTCTGCAGCGCGAGGTATATGCCTCAACGTCCCGCGATAGTTGCCAGTTGTGCGGTCGACGGCAGAGGTCCGTTAAACCCTAAACCCTAATTTATAAACCCTAATTTATAAACCCTAACCCTAATCTCTAAGCTCCATGTTTTGGGTTCTGTACGCACCTGCCAGTATTTAGTGTTTAGGGTTTAGGGTTTAGGGCTTGTGGTTTCGCAGTTCTGCTGTACAATTTGGAGGCTGAGGGGGTTTGCGAGGGTCCCGAGGCTGCGTTGGTTGGAAACAAAGGCGAAGCGTAGGCTGCAGGGTTTAGGGTTTAGGGTTTAGGGTTTGTTGCTGGTGCTTCAGTTGCATGGCTGATTTGAATCCTTAGAACTTTGGGTTTTGGTGAACAACAGACAGCAGTTCGTCTAGGGTTTATTCTCTAGGGTTTAGGGCTTAGGGTTTAGGGTTTAGGGTTTGCTCAGGACCTGCTTGAGCTGGAACCCTAATCGTGAGGGGCAGATCGTCGCCTGCGGGTCTGAGGGTTCGTGGGCGGTTTATGATGCTGCTGCTACTGCGCTGAAGGAAAAATGTAAACCCTAAACCCTCAGAAAACCCTAAACCCTCGTAAACCCCTATAAACCCTCAAAAGGCCGCATAAACCCTCAGACAGAGCTGTAAACCCTCGAATATGTTGCTGGTCTGCTCACTAGAGGCGGATGGCGGGTCTGCGGTCTTATTTCTAGGGTTTAGGGTTTAGGGTTTATGTGCTGCAGCACCAGATGGGACCCCTGGTTCTCGCGTAGGAGAAAGGAGCGCGCGTTTTAATTCTTGCTGCTGGGCAGCAGCAGATGTCTTCTTGATAGCACAAGAAGATAGCATTGTTTCTCTGTAGGCCAAATTAGGGTTTAGGGTTTAGGGTTTAGGGTTTTGGGATTAGGGGCAACTTAGGTTATCTTGGCATCATCACTTTCGCACTTATATGGGGGTTGAAGCGATTCGCTTGTTTAGGGTTTAGGGTTTAGGGTTTAGGGTTTAGGGTTTGAGGTGTATGCACAGATGGGATATTCGTCAGGACACATCTAAGCCATCTGGGGAGGTGAGGCAAGACGGACAAACCCCATAAACCCTAAACCCTTAAAAACCCTAATTCCCTCTGAACCCTTAAAGCTGGAAAACCCTAAACCCTAAACCCTCGCGCTGTTGTGCTTCAGGTGAAGTTCAAGGGTTCCGCCATCAACTGCGTATCCACAACTCCCCTTAAACCGGAAGTATTCATCTGCGGTGGCGATGATGGGGTTCGTCTAGGGTTTAGGGTTTAGGGTTTAGACCTACGTTTTAGGGTTTAGGGTTTAGAACCTACCTTTTAGGGTTTAGTTTTCAGGGCCTAGTTTTTCGGGTTTATTTTTCAGGGTTTATTTTTCAGGTTTTAGGATTTAATTTTTAGGGTTTAGGGTTTAGGGTTTAGGGTTTAGGGTTTAGGGTTTATGTATGTGTATACAGATGTTGAATTTATACGATTGGCGTCGTTTAGATATTCCATTGCATGCAGTGGAGGCATCAACAGATCATGGTGTATCTTTTTCTTCTTTTTCTTCTTTTCTTCCTTCTGTTTGTTTATCTGGAGGAAATAATAAATTTATTTCTTTATGGGACTTTAATCGTGTAGGAGAAGAACAAGATCCAGAGGATGCAGAGGATGGACCACCAGAGCTTCTTGTACGTTGAAAAAAGGGTTTAGGGTTTAGGGTTTAGGGTTTAGGGTTTGGGGAGAGGGTTTCAGGGCTGGAGAGATTGGGTCGAGGGATGAGGGTTTAGGGTTTAGGGTTTGAGGTGGATAATTGACAAGCGCTTGGTTGATCATCTGGGATTTGATGTTAAGGGTTTAGGGTTTACGGTTTGCGGTCTAGGGTTTAGGGTTTAGGGTTTAGGGTTTAGGGTTTTCGCTGCAGTTCACCCATGGCGGGCATCGTGCGGATATTTATGATGCGTCATGGAACTGTGAAGAAAGGTTCCCACAGGTGCTAAACCCTAAACCCTAAACCCTAAACCCTAGGCATCTAGCTTAGTGCAGTCAGGATATAGGGTTTAGGGTTTGGGGTCTAGGGTTTAGGGTTTAGTGTTTGTTGTCTACGCAGATGGTCGCTTCTGTTGCCAACGACAACAGACTACATATTTGGCAACCGGTGAGCTAAACCCTAAACCCTAAACCCTAGCGGATAACCCTAAACCCTAATGCTAAACCCTAACCATGAATTGTAGCGCAGGCCTTTGCACCCTAGTCCATAAGGCTAAACCCTAGACGCTAAACCCTACTTCATTCTTCTAAACCCTTAATTAGGGTTTAGGGTTTAGGAGACTGGAGACAGATAGGGTTTAGGGTTTAGCTGTCTCCTTCAAGCCCCAAAAGGAACTGCTGCTGCTATTTGCATGCGCTGCATGCAGAAATCATCCGTCTTCTTTGAGAGTGACAGCGAGGAGGAAGAGGACGCAGATCAGCTCGAGTGAGGCAATAAGTCTAGGGTTTAGGGTTTAGGGTTTAGGGTTTAGGGTTTGCACAGAGTCCTGTGGATCCTCTACTCCCTTCCCTTCGTCCCCAAATCGCTAATCTAAGCAACCGCTATTACTTTTGTATCTTTTGTATCCAAACCCTAATTAGAATTTTCAGTGTTTAGGGTTTAGGGTTTAGGGTTTATGGCCTAGGGTTTAGGGTTTAGGGACGTTCTATCCAGCAGCAGAATGCAGTGCCTGTCATCGCTCCATACGCGTGCTGAGTATAGAGGGTTTAGAACTTAGGGTTTAGGGTTTAGGGTTTAGGGTTTGCGGCTTTACATGGGGCGATGAAGTTCCTAGCAGCGCCAAATTCCCCTTAGGAGGGTTTAGGTCTAGGGTTTAGGGTTTTTAGCCTATTTCTTTTGTAGTGCATTCTGTGTTTGGGGGGCATGGACACCCGAGGGTTTAGGGTTTAGGATGCTGCGCTGCTGCCTGTACCTCCGCAAGATCAACTATTCTTCCTATTACTGCTTTTCTGTATAACTAGTGCCAAACACTGAGGGTTTAGGGTTTAGGGTTTAGTGTTTAGGGTTTGTGCATCGGGGCTTGTGGGCAATTAACGACTCATCTACCCCGGACATAATAATTATAATATTATTATTATTGACTATAATTGAGTAAATTTAAATAATAAAAAGAAGAAAAGGAAGAAAAAAGAGGAATTATAAACTCCATTTCTTTGTTACTGTGTATCGATGGTCCAATGGTCACCATTCGTGCATCGGGGGGTCTTTCTTTTGCTTTTCTCCATCATTTCAATTGCTTTTAAGTATTTTAATGATTTATAAATAATTATTTAAATGTTTATGCGTCAAAGGAACGCAAAACGAGCCTCTAATAGCACAGAAAGCGACGGGCGATCTTTTTAGGTGTGCATACACCCGAGTATGCGCGATTGCATAGAGCGGCGGTGTACAGACACCCTAAGCATGCAAAGGGAGTATTTAATTGTATAAAATAAATGAAATTAAATAATAATTAATTAATTTAAATAAATAATTAAATTAAAAAGAATATTTCTTCATAAAATATATCCACAACATATGTATAGGAGGGAGGGAGAAGCCCTTATATAATAATATACACTGCAGCAACAAGGGTAGGCGGCGGCTCCTATTCTTATGTATATTTATGGTGTATAAATACCTCATTTCTTCCTTTTTGTTGTTTTTCTTTATTTATTTCTCCCTTAATTTGAATTTACTTCCCTACAGGTCTTTATATTACAATTAAAGATCCCTTTTTTCCCCTCTTTTGCTGCATCCCTTAGCTAGCCGCCATTGTTGTTGTTATCTTTTGTTGCTTCTTTTGTTTATTTCTTGTTTTTCTTCCTTCTTTGCATGCAACTTCTTCTTATTTACTCCAGTTTACCCTATAAGACGGAAAGGGGGCCCTAATGCTCCTTTATGCATAGGGGTTATGCTATTGTATATACCCTATGCATCTGCTGCTGCAGCAATAAATATATACTATTTTAAGCAGCAGCAACAACAGCAGCAAAAGGAGCAGCAGCAACAGCACCAGCAGTGGCAGCAGCAACAGCAGCAGGAGTAGTAGTAGCAAGCAGCAGGATTGTCTATTATCCTTTTCTCTTGCTGCTGCTGCTGCTGCTGCTGCTGCTGCTGCTATTCATTTATTATGCTGCCCCAAGGGGGCCCCCTTATAAAACAATGTCTTTCTTCTCTTCTCTTCTCCATGGCGTGCCCTGGCGCAGCAGCAGCAGCAACAGAAACAGCAACAGCAGCAGCAGCAGCAGCAGCAGCAGGTTGCTTCGTGTGTTTGTGGCTGCGACCATCACGCTGCCTTTCTTAGGCCCACGTGCAGCAACAGCAACAGCAGCAGCAGCAGCAGCAGATCAGCAGCAGCAGCAACAACAACAGCAGGAGAATTCTTTCCCTGCAGCAGCAGCAGCAGCAGCAGCAGCAGATATTCCTGCTGCTGCTTCCTTGAATATTCAGGCAGCAATAAAACCCCACAGACAATTAAAGGAAGACGTAAACCCTAAACACCAAACCCTAGCACAGCCAACAGAGGTATGGATACTCCTGCAGCTAGCTAGCTAGCTAGCTAGCTAGCTAGATACTTATACACTTATCTAGCTTGGCTATGCAGCTAGCTAGTTAGCTATATAACTAGGCAGATACTTATAAGTACAGCTGTATATATACAGCTAGCTGTCTCAATGGATACACAGGTAGTTAGTTAGCTAGCTGTGGCTAGCTGTAGTTAGCTAGCTGTTATGTGGCTAGTGTAGTTGCGGTGTATGTACAGCTGTATGTGTGAATGTGTTGCTGCTATGCTGTGTTGCTGCTGCTGCTGCTGCAGTTATCAGTGATTCAAGAGGAAGCAACTGCTGCTCTTGCTGCTGCTTCTCCTGCTGCTGCTGCTGCTCTTTTTACCGCCTCCTCTGCAGGGGATGATACACCCCAAACCCCACAGGCAAGCAGCAGCAGCAGCGACAGCAACAGCAGCAGCAACAGCAGCAGCAACAGTAGGTTAGCAGCTGTCTATAGCAGCAGCGAAAGGCTGCAGCAGACAGGCATGCTGGAAACAGCAGCAGCAGCAGCAGCAGAAACAGCAGCAGCAGCAGCAGCACCTGTAAGGCGTCAGCCAAGGCAGCCCTCCTCCTCCTCGTCAGACAGCAGCAGCAGCAGCAGCAGCAGCAGCAGCAGCAATTCAGAGGATGATGTCTTTGGTGTAGATTTTCTTAATGATTTGTTTGCTGATCCAAAGAAGTTACAAGAAATAGAAGAGGAAGACAGTGCAGCAGCAGCAGCAGCAGCAGCAGCAGCAGCAGGAAGTCCTGCAGCAGGAGGAGGAGGAGGAGCAGCAGCAGCAGCAGGGGACGATTCAAGGGGAAGAAGAACGAGGAGAGACATTTCTAAGAAGCAGCAGCAGCAGCAGAGGAAGCAGAAACAGAAGCAGCAGCTGCAGCTGCTGCAGGGAGGAGAAGGAGGAGACGATCCCCTAGGAGACGATCCCTTTGGTGGGGATCTATTTGGAGACGATCCCCTGACGGGAGACGATCCCAGAGGAGACGATCCCAGGGGAGACGATCCCAGGGGAGACGATCCCAGGGGAGACGATCCCGATCCCCTGATGGGAGACGACGATCCCTTTAAGGGTACATTTACAATAAAAGGGTTACAACAAGGAAGAAAAAAAAGAGAAAAAAATAATAAATCTTCCTTATTAAGGGAAAAAAGGAGAGAAAAAAATATAAATAATAATAATAAAGATATTGATGATTTATTTCTTGATGATTATTATACACAAGAAGAAGAAGAAGGAGGAAGAGGAGGAGGAAGAGGAGGAGGAAGAGGAAGAGGAGACAATAAAAAAGACAATAAAAGGGAAAAAGCAGACATGAACTTTAGGAGACGTAAAAGGAATGCAGATGATGATCAAGAATCCCTCCCTCTCCCTCAACGTCGTACGAAAACCCTAAACCCTAAACCCTAAACCCTAAACCCTAAACCCTAAACCCTAAAAAAGGATTGGTGAAAGCGTAGACAGCAGAACAAGCGGGAACTATCTGTCTAAATATTCTATACAACTCTTTAGGGTTTAGGGTTTAGGGTCTAGGGTTTAGGGTTTGTGTTATGTACACAGCGGATTGGGCATTAAGACTAAAAGATAAGGACCCTGCTCTTGCTGCACAAGCAGCAAGAGATTTAGCAGCAAGAAGAGAAGAAAGAAGATTAAAAGAATTAGAAGCATCGCAACAAGCAGCAACATTAGAAGGAATATTTGCTAGGGCTAAACCTGTATCACCAGGACTGAGTACGTCTAGGGTTTAGGGTTTAGGGTTTAGGGTTTAGGGTTTATGCAGGTTATGAAAGTGTCTATATAAACAAACAGATTAATCAATTAAATAAGCAAATAAATAACCAATTAATATAAATAAATAAATAAATAAATAAATATATTTATGTATATTAATTTATTCAGGCTTTTTAGGTGTTGGCTATGATGTAGTAAAGGGTAACCCATTAGGTGACCCTGTAGTGATGGGTGACCCTGGGTTACGTTCCCCTATAATACAATTTGATTATAATTTTAATTTTATGAATAAAAATAGTAAAACAGATAGAGAAAAAGATAATAAAAGTAATAAAATAGGTAATAGAAAAGAAGGAGAAGAATTAGGAGAAGAAGATGGCGAAGGAATTAGCGAAAAAGAATTACAAGATAATGCACAAGAAGAGGAAGAAGGAGAAGGAGAAGAAGAAGAAAATAAAGGAGATTTATTAATGAATTTAAGTAGCGATCTAAGAGAATTACAACCTAGAGGAACATATAGTAGACCTTTTGTTGCATGCAAACAATCAGAAAATCTTAGCGAAGTTATTTCCTTAACAGATTATGTTAAGGAATTAGAGGGAGATGCATCCTTAGTAGGAGGAGATACATTTAATTTAAATTCTTTTTCTGCTTCTGCTGCATTCAAGGATATAGCAAAAAAAACTATTAAAAAAAATAGCCGTACTTTTCTTCTTAAGACTTATTGTCTTAGGTATGAGGCAGGACTGGCACAAACTGACAGTTTTGCTTGGTAAGTTTATTCTATTTATTTATTTATTTATTTATTTTATTTATTTATTTATTTATTTATTTTATTTAATTAATTTAATTTAATTTAATTTAATTTATTTTATTTTATTTTGTTTAATTTAATTAATGATATAGGTATGCCCATCATTTTATATTTATTATTTTGTTTAATTTATTTATTTAATTTATTTATTTAATTTATATAATTAATTAATCTAATTAATATTATTTACTTAATTAATTTAATTTAATTTAATCTGTATAATAGAGTATGATGTAAAATATATAATACACATATGAATAAAACGTAATAAATAAAATAAAAAAAAAATAAAATAAATAAATAAATAAATAAATAAATAAATGTATATGTTGTATGTATATGTATATGTATATGTATATACAGGAATTATACATTAGCATTTAAGGATGCAGTAGAAGGATTACCTGATACATTTGATGGTGCAGAAGAAGGAGAAGGATGTTCTCCTTCTGTATGGAGAGAAAATAGCAAAGATAATCTTTGTATAAATACAAATATAAAAAAATGGATAGATTTTATAGATCAATTTGGTACACATTATGTTGTTAAATTATTTGCAGGTATGTATATTTTCTCTATATTTCTATTTATATACATTTATATTTATATTTATATTTATAAATATTTTTATTGTTTTTTTGTGCATTTATATGTATTATTATGTATATAGGGCTGGATTTAGATGTATATTTTATGTATATATACATAGATATCTATATTTTGTGTAGATGTATATAAATATATACATATATGTATAATGTATAAATATACAGTTGTTAAGCTTATGGAGGGTTTATTTGGGGCTTTTTACGTATTGTGCATGCATAAAATAAGAATAAATTTCCTTTTTCTTCTTTTGTTGAATAAGTTAGTAAATCGATGACTGGTCATCATGTCTTGCTTTTTTTTTGTATTTTCTTTAAATTAAATATATTCTTGTTTATTTATATTTATTTAATATAATTATTTTCTTATTTATTTATATTTTAACAGGAGGAAAGCTAACTCATCAAATAACAATGGCTAATGTAGATATAGCTATGATGAATAGTAAAGGAATGAGCGTAAAAAGCGCATTAAAGGCAACATTTGGTGTAGGTAGTGTAGGTGCATCAACAAATGTAGAAAAAGAAGAAAAAGAAAAAAATGAATTAAAACATTTTAATTACCAGATGGAGACTCTTGTTATGGGGGGAAGAGTACCTAGAGATGTAGGTGACCCTGATTCCTTGGGTGAATGGGCGGATTCTGTAGAGGAGCTTCCTATGCCGGTAAGACACAAAAACATGGTAACCTCATTGCTTTTTACGCATTTTTCATGAAATTACTTTTTAATTAAATTTATTATATTATTATTCATCTTTCTATTCAAAAGAAACACGAAAAAACAAGCAAAAATACCCTAGTTTCGTCTGCTTTCCTCCTTCCCCCCCCTAACCATCCATATCGCAGTCAGTCACTCCTATCGATTGTGCAGAAAGAAGAAACTTGAATAAAAATAATTATATGAATAAACATGGATAAAATAAATAAATAAATATAATAATAATAAATAATACATATTGTTGTGTATATATTCAGGTTAAAATAACATTACAACCTTTATCTAATTTATTACCTCAACAACACAAAGAAAACTTTGAGAAAGCAACACGTTTTTATTCAGATGCTGTTGGTATGACGAAGGCAGATTTAACGGCATTAGCAGGAAAACCCCAAAATATTGGAGAAATTGTACGTATAAACCCTAAACCCTAAACCCTAAACCCTAAATATAACAAACCCTAATTGTGGGGATGTACGCACATAGGCAGCAAAACATTCTCCATTAATGGTTGTCTATCTATGATCTCCTTGTACCTAAAAAGACTTCTTTTGTGTCCTGTTTCTGCTGCTGCTGCTGTTGCTGTTGCTGCTGCTGCTGTTTGCTGCTGCTGCTCGTGCTGCTGCAGCTGCGAAATAGTTCGCAAGTAACGTATGCAGGTGACCCTCCAGGGTTTGCTATGTGCGATCCTCACGAAAGAATTCTTTTTGGCTTTGCCTTCCAAGTAAACTTTTTAGATGATGGAGCAATTGCAGAAAGAGCAGAAATTAAATCTTGCCCAGCTGGAAGGTACGATCAGGGTTTAGGGTTTAGGGTTTAGGGTTTAGGGTTTAGGGTTTAGAGTTCATCATTGTAATCATTATCAAGGGTCTTTGCCGGTTTACAAGATTTTTCATCCTTGGCGTAGGAAATGTGTTGCAATATGCCTTGAGAGATATTTAGGGTCTAGGGTTTAGGGTTTAGGGTTTAGGGTTTGTTGTTCTTTCTTTTTGTGTATAGAGATAAATGTGATGGATTAGAGAGGCCAGCAAAAGAAGGAGATGATGCGCGAATATTCGCCCTCTGTGGCGCAGAGACCATCACGGGTCTAGAGCAAGTTGTCGTACAGAGCCCTCTCGTAAACCCTAAACCCTAAACCCTAAACCCTAAACCCCTAAACCCTAGGGAGCTGAGACTGCAATAGGACAAACCCTAAACCCTCAGTTCTAAAGGAATAACATCATCCCTTCCTCAGCATCAGCAACAGCACCAACAGCAACAACAGGAGCAGCAGCAGCAGCAGGAATATATATATTGTGTGTGTTATTATGCATGCAGAAAGCAGTAGCTGTATGCCCTCAAGGGTCATTAATATTAACAGGGTTTTCTTTATCATTAACAGGAGGAAGAGAAGGACCATTAAGGACAGGATTCTTTCCTTGTCGTGCAGGTAACCTATTTATTTATTTATTTATTTAATTTATTAGTATATTTATTTAATTAGTTGTTACTCATTATTATATTTATTTAATCTATTCCTTTTAATTGTGTATTAATAGAGTGTACAGTATTTACATGATTTCTTTAATTTAAGGGTTTAGGGTTTAGGGTTTAGGGTTTAGGGTTTAGGGTTTATGATTAATGTTTAGGTCTTCCAACATGTACAGCTCTAGGAGTTAGAGGTACACAACAAAATATGGTTTGGGTCGCCTGTGTAGAAGATACAACCCCAGGCCTTCAGGTAACTCATCGAGGGTTTAGGGTTTAGGGTTTAGGGTTAAGGGTTTAGGGTTTGTTGTGACGGTTTATAAAACAAGGGTTTACCACATAGAGAGCGGGGATTTGTTTCTTCGGGTGCCTGAGAGGGTTTAGCATGTTATTAGGGTTTACAATAATTAGGGTTTATGATTATTAGGTTTTGACGATAGAGAGCGTTTCTCCCGCAGGGTTTAGGGTTTAGGGTTTGGGGGCTTTTTTTTCTTTTTTCTTTTTTTTTTGTGCATAGAGGTTAACAAATGTTGGAGCTGCTGTAGTTGGTGTTGCAACAAAACGTTCTTATTCTGATGGTTTAGTTCGAGCAGAATGTCCTCCTAATCTTGGCGCTTCTTTTGGTAAGTAGGACGATGGTTTAGGGTTTAGGGTTTAGGGTTTAGGGTTTAGGGTTTAGGGTTTAGGGTATAGGGTATATTATTTTCCCGGATTTTTTTGGATTACTATATTATTTTTATTAAATTATAATTAAATAATTAATAATTAATTAATTATAATAATTAATAATAAATAAATAAACAAATAAATAAATATCCCTATCTGTATCCAAAAAATTCATATTTTTGTGATTTCTGTGTGTGTTTGTCTCATTTTTTCTGCATTTCTTCCCCCGTTTTTCGTCCTTCCTCCTCTCCTCCTCCTCTTCCTCCTCTTCGTCCTTCTTGTTCTTTTATTTCTGCAGGATTTACATTAGAATTACATACAAGAATGTCCCGTGTCCGTGAGAGTTTCGATGTTTGCGTAGATTCAGCAAAAAATTGCGAATTAAAGGGCAAAGGAATAACAGAGAATATTTTCTTTAGGAAAAAAGATACGCATGCATTAATTGCATTTATAACTTGTTCTGATTTACCTAGTAATAATACACTTATGCATAATGAATAATTTATTATTATTATTATTTACTGCTGCTACTGCAACTGCAGCAGCAGCAGCAACAAATACCGCTCTTATAGCCCATCTACATCTTTTTTTCTTAAGAAATTAAGATATGCATGCATCTATTTATAATACTCTTTATGTATTATAAATCAACTGCAGCAGCAGCAGCAGCAGCAGCAGCAAGAGCTGCTGCTGCTGCTGCTGCTGATTATGCTGATGGTGGTGGTGTGCTGCTAATGCATGCGTATGTTTTTTTCTATAAAGAAAAAAGATATGCATGCATGCAGGTATTTCTTGTGTTTATTTACCTACTAATATATTAATAATACTCTTATATATCCATCATTAATAAATAACCTGCTGCTGCTGCTGCAGCAGCAGCAGCAGATGCAGATGCAGCAGCAGCTGCTGCTGATTGTGGTGGTTATTGTGGTGTTATTATATATGGTGGTGTTGTTTCTGTTGCTGCTGCTGCTGATGATGTTGTAGCAGCAGCAGCAGCAGCAGGTATTGCTGCTGCTGCTGCTGCTGTCATTGTAACAGCAGCAGCAGCAGATGCTGCTGTTGTTATTGCTGCTTTTGTTGTTTTTGTTGTTGTTGTTGTTGCTGCTCCTGCTAGTTACATATTATCTGCAGCACACTAGCAGCAAGACAGCTGCTTGCTGCAGCAGATGCTGCTGCTGCTGCAGCTGCAGCAGATGCTGCTGCAGCTGCAGCTGTTAATACACTATATATGCAGCAAGAATATGAATAACTGCAGCAGGCGCAGCAGCAACTTTTAGTACATATACAACAACAACAACAACAGCAGCAGCAACAGCAGCAGCAACAGCAGCAGCAGCAGCAATTTGCTGCTCTGTTGCTGCGTCCGTAAGGACAGACAATGCTGCAGCAGACTTATTTTATTCTATTTGTCTGCTTATTAAGTTATTTATTTATTTATTTATTTATTTATTTATTTATTTTATTAATTAATATTATTAATTAATTAGTTTATTAATTAATATTTATTAATTAAATAATTATTAATTAAATATTATTCTTGTATATTAAATACTTGAATATAAATATAAATAAATATAAATAAATATAAATAAATATATATAAATAAATAAATATAAATAAATAAATATAAATAAATAAATAAATAAAATAAATAAATAAATAAATAAATAAATAAATGTTAATAATTAAAAAAACGAATTGCAAACAAAGAGGCAGCATTGCCTCTACAAGTTACTAAAACCCTAAACCCTAAACCCTAAACCCTAGAGGTATCTGTATAGATACCTCTCTAGGGTTTAGGGTTTAGGGTTTAGATTACCTCCCTCAGTGTATATTATTAAGATATAATGCATAATTAAGATATTCGTGGCGGTCTAAACCCTAAACCCTAAACCCTAAACCCTAAACCCTAAACACTTTTAAACAAGTTTAAACTCTAAAAAACCCTAAACCCTAAACCCTCGAGGATAATTAGGGTTTAGAGAATAAGTGAGCTGCTTTGTCTCCGTTTAAATAAACACCAAAGCAGGATTTAGGGTTTAGGGTTTGGCGGCTGAGGGGTTTAATACTATCTAGGGTTTAGGGTTTAGGGTTTAGGGTTTAGGGTTTGAGCCACCAGCAGCAGAAGATACTCTACGAGACATCTCCTCTAGTTGAGCAGCAGCCTCCTTTGCCCCAAATGCCTAAGCAGCAGCAGCAGCAGCAGCAGCAGCAGCAACAGCAGCAGCAGCAGCAGCAGCAGCAGCAGCAGCAAATAAGTTGTATTTAAATACGTATTGACGTATAAGGATATTAAATAAAGTATATATAAATAACCAATAAGAAATAAATAAATAAATAAATATAAATAAATAAATAAATAAAATAAATAAATAAATAAATAAATAAAATAAATTACCTTTAATAAGGAAGAAGAATCAGCAAGAAAAGAAGAAATGTGTTGACCATCAAATCGCGATAAATCTTGAGATGCCCAACATATTACTGTCGTCTATACACAAACCCTAAACCCTAAACCCTAAACCCTAAACCCTAAACCCTAAACCCTAAACCCTTGGAAATGTAGAGAGGAAAGAGGTATATATATGGGAAGGAGGGAAGGAGGGAGAAAGAGATGCACACGGATATAAACCCTAAACCCTAATATGAAGAGGAGAAGGAGAAAACGAACAAACCCTAAACCCTAAACCCTAAACCCTAAACCCTTACCTGTAAACGTTGCAACAATTGGGGGTCTTGGACAATCGGTTCGAAGACTTCATTCCAGTATGCCGTCTGTAGACAAACCCTAAACCCTAAACCCTAATAAACCCTAATAAACCCTAATAAACCCTAATAAACGCATATAAACCCTAATACACGCAAATGACCCCTAATAAACCCTAATAAACGCAAATAAACCCTAATAAACCCTCGTAAACCCTAAACCGTAAACCCTCGATGCTTACAAGAAGATGTAATAGTCCTTCAAGATCAATTTGTGTTTTTTCTTCATCTATTCTCCCTCTTGGCCATATATGAGAAGAAGGAAGCTTACTATTTAGTAACCAAGAACGACCAAGAAAAGAATGCATGCATTGATCAATTTTTTTTTGTAGGGAAAAAGCAAAAACCCTAGACCCTTTTATAAACACTTCTTTTATATCCTTATAATCTAATACTCCTGTAAACCCTAAACCCTCAGATAATAAACCCTCAGATAATAATAAACCCTCATCACCTACATCACCTGATAAACGTGCTGTTGCCTAAAAAAAAAAAAAAAAACAAAAACCCTAAACCCTAAACCCTAAACCCTAAACCCTAAAACCAGTATTGCAGAGTTCTTGGCATGCCCGTTTCATTAGGGTTTAGGGTTTAGGGTTTACGATTTTTATACTGCCTCCCTGTATTTACGTACCGTTTTTGTCATATGGTGTCCTAGGATTTAGGGTTTTCTAGGGTTTATGAGGGTTTAGGGTTTGTAAGGGTTTATGAGGGTTTAGGGTTTAGGGTTTACTTGTAATTCTGGTGGTACTCTTCTAAGATTAATAACTTTTGCCTTCATGAGCATTTCTGTGATTTCTTTATTATTATAATAATTACAATTATTATTATAATTATTATTATTTCCTCCTCCTCCTCCTCCTTGCTGCACTAAACCCCCAGGAAAATAACTACTTAGCTCTATCTTCTCATCAGGAGAATAAATCTTATAAAATTGTTCGCATGCAATTCGCCAAGAAAGAAGAAGAAAAGAATTCGGAGAACAAACACTACGATAAGCTTTTAAGCTCTGTAAACTGCCTACAAAAAAAAAAAAATTTCGTAAACCCTAAACCCTAAACCCTAAACCCTAAACCCTAAACCCTAAACCCTAATTCTTATATATAGAATCGAATAAACCCTTATTAACCCTTAGAAACCCTAAACCCTAGTTTTTGTATCTGTGTTTGTCTGGGTTGTAGAAGATTGAGGGGAGGTGGAGGAATTTGGGAATTGTGCTAAACCCTAAACCCTAAACCCTAAACCCTTATAAACCCTAAACCCTAGGACGGACAGAAGAAGGCACGAGGAGAAGTTAATTGTATTTGTTTTCTTCTATAAGGCCTTAAGTTATCTCGTTGTTCTTGTCCTTGATTGCTGCCTGTTGTATTTGCTGCAGTTGCTGCTGCTGCTGCTGTTGCTGCATTAGATGGTGTATTTGCTGCATTTGTTGCTGTAGATTGTACAGCAGCAGAAGTACCTGGTATTGCTGCTGCTGCTGTTGCTGCAGTTGCTGCTGTTGTTGCTGCTGCAGATAATTTATGTATAGTACTACTACGTCTTAATGAGGGTTTAGGGTTTATTGTATTTTGTGTCTCTCTCTGATTTAAATATATTAATAAGGGAGATAATACATCTACCCCTAATAAGGATATTTCTTTTGCTTCTCCTGCTGTTAGACTACGACCTTGAGGTAGCTGCCTAGACACCGCAAATGCATGCACATGTGATGGTGATACAGCATACGCCTCCTCTAACTGTATACACACAAAAAAAACACACACACATAGACATACCACAAACCCTAAACCCTAAACCCTAAACCCTAAACCCTAAACCCTAAACCCTAAAAACCAAAAACCCTAAAAATGAAACCCTATAAACCCTGTAAAAAACCGTATATAAACCCTCTAAACCCTCTAAAAACCCTCTAAACCCTCTAGACAATCTTATAAACCCTAAACCCTAATAATTATATACCTGAATAAGAGGAGGATGTTGAGGATCTAATACATGAAATATAAGAGTTCCTTCATTAAGATTTTCTGCAGATCTACAAACTTTTAGGGTTTTTGCTGAATGTACACCTAAACTTCTACAACCCCCCATCCCTGGTTGATCCCATACAAATAATAAATGACTGCAAATATACAACAAAGAAAAATATAAAAAAAATAATTAGGGTTTAGGGTTTAGGGTTTAGGGTTTTGAGGTCTTTATACTGTTATTAGACATATTAATCGCAAATTAACGCTAAAAGAAAAGAAATAACAGGACACTATACTTAATGTTTTAATGTTTTAGGGTTTAGGGTTTAGGGTTTAGGGTTTACCCTTGTTGGGGTTGGACAAGATAAGTACAACATCCTCCTGTGCCAAGAAGAAAACCATCAGATTGGCAACCGAACTCCGAGCAACAAAGAGGAGGAATTTCTTCACTAGGGAACTGAATATATATACATAATAAATAAATAAATATATATATATATATATATATTTATTTATTTTATTTATTTTTATCTATTTAGTGGTTATTCTTGTGCGTATTTTGGTGGGTATACACTCCGAGCAACAAAGAGGAGGAATTTCTTCACTAGGGAACTGAATATATATACATAATTAATATATTAATTAATTAATTTATTTTATTTATTTATTTATTTTATTTATTTATATATTTATTGAGGTGTATAGGGAGATTTAGATATATTATTTATAAGGATGAATGAATGAGGGTTTCTAGGGTTTACGATATCTTTATTTTTTAGGGTTTAGGGTTTAAGATTTTTAGGGTTTGGTATTTTTAGGGTTTAGGGTTTAGGGTTTAGGGGTTAATTCATACCTCTACCCATAAACCCTCCTCTAATGGTAAGGAAGGAGCACCTTTATTATCAAGAATAAAAAAGAAAGGAGTTAAATTAATTATTCGTATAAATAAGGAACGATGTGCTTTTCTTAGTCTTTTTATCCATTCAATATTACATACATTATATATAAAATTATTAGGGTATAAATTAGGGTTTATATTATTATATATATTATTAGGGTTTACGGTGTATACGCTACTTTTCTCTAATACACCATCAGATCTATTACGTAAACCCTTTATATATGACGCTAATTCATCACGACACTCTGTAAGAAAAAAAACAAATAAATAAATAAATAAATAAATAAATAAATAAATTATATTAATTAATTAATTAATTATATTAATTAATTAATTAAACTAATTAAGGAATATGTGCATATAAATATACACATACAAATAAAAATAGATAGATAAAAGGATACAAATAAAGGGGCATATAAAGAAATAAACCCTAAACCCTAAACCCTAAACCCTAGAGGGACAAAAGGGTTACTTTGTAGATATGCTTCTCCCTCTGGTGTTTCTCTGACGGTGACGATAAACTGCACATAAAAAAAAAAACCTAAACCCTAAACCCTAAACCCTAATTGGTATATAATAGTATAACGTGTAGATATTGCAGCAGCAGCAGCAGCGACACAAACACCACCAACAACAGCAGCATCAACAGCAGCAGCACCAGCAGCAGCAACAGCAGCAGCAGCAGCAGGGAGACGTACGCTGCTGAATGGTGAGGAACCAGAAGAGAAGGATAAATCAAATAAAGTCTTTGCCTCTGGTAAACCCTGCAACCGCGAATCTACATTACACCCCATTGCGCTTACATGCCTGCAAGAAAAAAAAAACCCTAAACCCTAATAAACCCTAATAAACCCTAATAAACCCTAATAAACCCTAATAAACCCTAATAAACAATTAAGAATAGAGAATATAAACCCTAAACCCTAATTACTAACGATGAATATAATCTATGATTAAAGAAACAAAAAAAAAATTTCAAGTTCCACCCTTAACCCTAAACCCTAAACCCTAAACCCTAAACCCTAAACCCTAAACCCTACTTGCTATCTCCCAAGACGGGAATTTCGAACTCTGAGCAAATTATGTATTCAATACCCGCCAAGACCATCGCATATTGAATCTGTACACATAACAACATAACCTCCTCCTGCTGCTGCTGCTGCTGCTGCTGCTGCTGCTGCTGTTGCTGCTGTTGCTGCTGCTGTCGTTGCGCAGCTGCTTTTGATTGTGCAGTAACAGCAGCAACAAAGAAAGAAACAGCAGCAAACTACTTCCCTCAGCAGCAGCAGCAGCAACAGAAGCAGCAGCAGCAACTGCAGCAGCAGCAGCAGCAGCAACAGCAGCAAGCTGTTTTGCTTACCTTGCCGCTGAAGTTGCCTAGAGATCTGGTGGCCTCCGCCAAGCAGACCATCTCCTGCCGGGAGTCTGAAACGCAAACCCTAAACCCTAAACCCTAAACCCTAAACCCTAAATCATAAACCCAGAGAGGGGCTAAACCCTTCGCAGAAAAAAAAGAGAAGGAGAAGCAATGAGAGAATCAGCAAAACGCAACAAGATACACACGAAGAATCATAAACCCTAAACCCTAAACCCTAAACCCTAAACCCTCGAGGGTTACTCACGAATTGCTTCGATAGGCTGACGTTGCCATGTCCCATGATGCAGCATGTGTAGATGCCGATAAAATGTCGCACTGAACAGCAAACCCTAAACCCTAAACCCTAAACCCTAAGGTGTCTTTGGTGGCCTCATGGGCTTAACTCGATACCTTAAACCCTAGACCCTAAGCCCTTGTTGCTAAACCCTAAACCCTCTACAGTAAACCCTAACTAAGACGCATGCAGAGGGTTTCTTGCTCTGTACACCTGTACATCAGCATTTTGACCCTAAACCCTAAACCCTAAACCCTCTTACCTCGTGAGGTTCACGAAGTGGAACTCGCAGCATCTTGACGCCGTCGCCATTTTGGGGTTTATTTGAGGGTTTGGGGTGAGAGAGAGCGAAGGGTAAAGGGCCTTTGAAACCCTAAACCCTAAACCCTAAACCCTAAACCCTAGACCTTTGGTCGCTGACGCTGCATTGGCGGAGATGGGAATCTGTGCAGATTGTCTGTTAGCTTTGAAGAGCGCTTTGAGTCCAAGGATAGCTATAATTGAGGGTTTACGGTTTAGGGTTTAGGGTTTGGAGGATCTGGTCTAGGGTTTAGGGTTTAGAGGTTGCTGCGGTGTCTCACAGCCGCAGCAACCGGCGGCAACAGCGAGGCTACAAGAGAGCAGAGAAAGAACAAAAGTAAATTGAAAACAAACAAAATAAACAAATAAATAAACTTCAATTTAATTAAACCCTAAACCCTAAACCCTAATCCTCTATATCTCCAACGAGCCGGGGCCCGCTCCGTTGCAGCGCTCCAGGGTTTGGGGGCCCCCCAAGAGAGTGGTTAACAGTGAAGCCGCGAGGGTTTAGGGTTTAGGGATTATCTTTTAGGGTTTAGGGTTTATGGCATACTATTCGGCGTTATGGATTTGGTTTAAGGTCTCGAGTTTACGGTGTAGGGTTTATTATTTAGGGTTTACTAGGGTTTAGGGTTTACTAGGGTTTAGGGTTTGGAGTGTCTTCCACCGTGCGAAATCGAGGATTCGGGCCTTCGAGGGTTTAGGGTTTAGGGTTTGAGGTTTGGCGTATTTTCTTCTTAAGATATGGTGGATTAGAAGCCATTCTTTGATCTGCGGTGTGTATGGTTTAGGGCTTAGGGTTTGGGGTTTAGGGTTTAGGGTTTAGGGTTTATACCCTTCTCCCCTCCGAAGTTGCACAAATGTGACAGTACTTCCCTTAGGGTACCCCAGCTTACTGCAGCGGTTTTAGCTCCTTGTCGATGGCCCCTAAACCCTAAACCCTAAACCCTAAACAACCCTAATCCATAAACCCTAGACCCTATTCTACTGGTGCGACGGGTTGCTAAGGTTCCTAGTATATAGGGTTTAGGGTTTAGGGTTTAGGGTTTAGGGTTTGAAGATGGTGGTTTGTTGTTTATGTCGTAATGCCCTCTTCCTCTCTCCTCTGCGGCTGAGGGGCCCTGCAACACGACGACTGCAGCAGAAGCGGCAGCAGCTGCTGCAGCAGCAAGCAGAGCAGCAAACCCCTTATCCTAAGCCAGGAGCAGCAGCAGCAGCAGCAGCAGCAGCAGCAGCAGAGGAAGACAGCATCAATCCTTCTTTCTTTGATGATTCTGATGATCTGTATCCTTCGCAGCAGCAGCACAAGCAGCATCAGCAGCATCAGTATGACAAGCAGCAGCTGCTGCAGCAGCAGTTGCTGCTGCTGCAGCAAAGGGGGCCCCCCAAGCGAGTGGGTACTGGCAGCTACTTAGACCCCATGAGGGCCCCCCAGGCAGTTGAGGGATTTAATTCTGCCTATAAAGAATTCATAAATACTCATCAGCAGCAAACTAGGCAGCAAATTGTTAATAGACTTATTCAACATAGAAGACAGCAGCAGCAGCAGCAGCAGAAACAGCAGCAGCAGCAGCAGCAGCAGCAGCAGCGGCAGCGGGGGTCTGCATCCAATGGTATTTGTCCTGAGAGTGCCGCAGACGCATCGCCTCCGAATAGAACAGCAGCAGCAGCAGCAGCAGCAGCAGCAGCAGGCACTGCAGCAGCAGCAGGAGGAGGAACTGCACCAGCAGCAGCAGCAGCAGGAACTGCAGCAGCAGGAGGAGGAACAGCAGCAGCAGGAGGAGGATCTAGTTTGCCTTTTGCCTTAGCTGAGGTGTACGTACACCACGAGCAGCAGCTAAGAAGTGTCGCCCCTCGTCCGCATGCATTTCGTGAGGCTTGTGTGCAGGAGTTTGCTGCTGCTGCTGCTGCTGCTG